CATGTCATGGCTCCGAACCGACGTTAATAAACAATTAACAATTAACAATTATAATCACTTAATCATTTAATTAATTATTTAATCGTTTAATTTAGACGGTCTAGCTCACTGCTGACAGTCATTGACGCATTCCCGCGTGCATGTAATTTTGTGCATGGTCTCTAGCTTTCTAGCTTTCTAGCTTTTAAGTTTTTCTGCACATGCATATCGATCCTTATTTGTTCGATCTGTTACGAGCCTAGGTAGCTAGCATATATTGACCTAGCTAGCTGTAAACCTAGCTAGGTTTACAGATTGAGTATATGCGTCATGATCGATCCGCCGACTTTATATACACATGATATTTCAAACTGTCATGCAAACGGCCGTGTGATCGGACCCAATTGAATATGCACACCGCTCAGCTGGTAAATCGGCCGCCCACTGTAATTGTATGTAGGCCGGCGCGGCCAGTTCGCCGCAGTGCATGCATGTAGATCGGATTGGAATTCGATATACATTTGATCGCTATGTGTAGTAGGCCGACCTCAGTGTACGGTACCGAATTCCAATAACACTGCGGGGCGCAAATCAATGTACTCGGGATTCATCCGCCTCACTGCATGCAAGATATGCATATAAATATATAATCGATCATGCAGCAAAATAACATCAGTAAAATTCAAGTTGCCCTTAAGGTCAAACTGTCAAGGTCTAATCCAAAAGCGCTAGCTCGAGGCATTCAAAAATCAAGCTTCGAGTACACGTTGCAGATTGAAGTAGAGTCCCTTCTTGATCTTTGAAGACTTGAGCTCAAGCTAGGATGCCCCTTTACAAGCACCGTATGATCTACAATGATGGAATATCCTCACTAACCGGCCCCAAATATCTCCAGTGAAGCGTTACATCTAAGCTGCCTTGTTCAGACTTCTCACATGTACACCATAGTTGGATCCTAGTGGTTCGAACACCGTCGCCTTTCCAAGTCCGACCGTTCAGATATAACCAGCGCACTTCTTGCTTTAGAGTCTACATGAAACGTCCAAATTGCCAAACCGTCAGTTCCTATATGTCCGTCTGTCTAATTACCTGAGCAGTCCTAAGTCTCGCAGCTCTTTGGTGGCTGCCTCCTCGTCCACTTTCTCCACCTCAAAAGGGACGGGAGCCGGTGGGGCCGACCCCTGCAGCCGCGCACTTTCCTCTATTAGCACCAGAGAAAGGATGCATGAGACAAGCAGTCCACCTTTGGCAAACACAAACTGACTGTGCAAACTGGACAATTCCGCCCGCCCCTGTCGCGGCCGTTCCCCTGCCCCGCTGGGTGCAGCCCTTCCGTCAACAGGGCCGGTGGCGCTCACCTCCTTGTAGCCGTCGTAGACCTCGACCTGGGGGTCGAAGCGCCAGCCGTTGGTCCCCCCGCTGAGCACGAAGACGCGGCGCAGCCCGCAGTCGTGCGCGACCTGCGCGGCCCACGTGGAGCGGCGCTCGGTGCGGCAGGCCAGCACGAGCAGGGCGTCGCGGCCCAGCTTGGGGCAGTGGTACACCGCCTCCCACGCCTCGCCGTCCAGCGCCAGCGCACGCGCCCACTGGTCCACTGCCACACCGCGACACCAACGCAAGTCAGGCCAGCGTCGCGTGGGTGACTTTATGGGCACAAAGTGGGGAAGAATGGGCAAACGGATGAGCCTCGTACCTCATGAAGAACGAGCAGGTGGCCAATCATACCAAGACAACGCTGCAACAGGGTGGGGCCATGGCTGCATCATCACCTGACAACAGCAGCCCGCTTGCAGCTCCCCCCTCGTATTTTCTCGTCGCGTCTCTTACCCTCCCTCCTGTTCCTCACCTGGGATGTGCACCGACCCTTGTATGGCCCCATACAGCGCGCGCTCGTCGTGCCGCCGCAGGTCCACCACCACCACCGGGGGCTGCCCCCCCCTCTCCGCGCATCCCCCCGCTGCTGCGTGGCCCGCCTCCGCGTGGCCGTCCCCCCCGTTGGCCACTGGGCGCGCCTGGCCTTGCAGGAGCAGCGCCACCGCGTGGCGGCTGAGGCAGCGCGCGGGGCGGCGCTCGCTCTTGGCCTCGCTCATGTACGCGGCCAGGCCCCCCTGCAGCACCAGGCAGCGGCTGTACCCCACCGACGCCGCGCTCGCAGCCGCCTGCGCTGAGCGGCGCCCATTGGCGGACAGGAACACCACGGCCTTGCGGCGGTCGGGAAGAGGGGCGGGGCCGTAGCGGGCCTCCCAGGCGGGTGGGGGGAGCTGCAGGGCGAATCGTAGCTCCGGCTCTGTAGAGAGAAGAAGGGGGCGAACGAGAGATCAGTGGGACTTGAGTCCAGACCAGACCAGACCAAGTGCGGGAGCCCCAACATTGACAGTGCCGGGAGGCAAGCGAGATCTGTACTTGGGACTCCGACCGGTATTCAAGTAAAGAATGCACACATTTGCTGGCCCCAACATCAGATGAGCTCTCTCCAGGCTGCTGCGCTGTGGCAGGCCGCGCGCCGGCGTGCTCACCCGGAATGACTAGCACGTCCTTGAAGGGGGCGGGGCTGGCGCGCGCCTCCTCGCGCGGGCGGCAATCAATGATGGCGTACGGCAGCGGCTGAGTGTCCACCAGCAGGCGCAGCGCCGCAGCGCTGATGCCCGCAAAGGCGGGAGCTGCGCTGCCCTGAGCAAAGCTGGCAGCACGCGCCTTGGCAGCAGAGTGGGCGGCCCAGGCACGCCGCAGCTGCACACGACAACAGGGGTCCCAAGCCGGTGACCAGCGAGGGGGGGGATGGGGGGCTAGGAGGGGGGGAGGACAAAAGCACAGAGCTTTCCTTGATGATTACCCGCATGCGAACCCATGCTGAGGTTAGTGCATCAGGTAGAAAGATGGCCTTTTTAAGGGCCCAGTCATCAGAGACCCCGCAAGTTGCCGCAAGGAGTCCATCTTAGAGCTCTATGTTGTGCAGCTCCCTTATCTGGACGGAAGAGGAAAGCCAAGCAGACACGCAGAGAAATTACCCCTCTACAGGGGCATGATATGCATCATAAGGCCAGCGGTGAGCTGCCTGCATCAATCACTCTCCCGATGCACCCTGATGCTCATGCTTATTCTGTGCTATTCTAATTGCCAACTGCCACTTTTGATTCTGAGCTTTTTCTAATCAGACCACATCCAAAGATAAAAATCTCTGACGCACTCAATGCAGTTTCTCTGTCTTTGGTTGCACCCATGCTTGAGAACTGCTGTCCGTCCCAACGCTCCAGCTGATGAGCTCGATATGATCAGCACAAAGAGGCCCAAGAAACAACGTTGAGATCTGCCGTCCCCTGGCCTTGCCCGCTTGCATTGTCGTGCTGCAGGGTGCGACTGACCTCCCGTATGCCCCACGTCATGAGCGCCAGCTGCAGCACGGTGAACAGGTTGCCGCCCACGTTCTGGATGCTGAAGATGCTGCCCCACGCAGTGCCCCCATCCTTCTCTTCCTCCTCCTCGTCCTCATCGCGGTCCGCACCGCGCGCCATGCCAGCGCCGCAGACAGCAACAGAATGCAATCAGCGGTCCAGCAGGAACAGAGACGAGAGATGAGAGGCAGCTATAAATGCTATTCTACATGAATCAGTACCTAGTAGGTATGGCTCGCTATAGGCATTGCTCAACTGCGCCCCTGAATCTGCTTTGGAAATTGGAAGATGGAACTTCAGGTCAGGCAAGCCTAGGCAGCAGGCTGGCCAAACAAATTTGAAATTCAAACATGTGCGGAAACTGCCGGTGGACGGTTTAAAGCTGAGCGCTTCCACCAATACGTAACCTAATTTCGACAGGGTATGTATCGACGAGGCACTCATAGCATTCCTGCACCTCTTTCGAACGTTGTATGTCGAACGTTGAACAACTACCTTCACTTGGCCTGTAAGGTCAGAAACCAAACCCTAAGATCAGTGGCAAATCCATGTATGATGTCCTTCAATTTTCTCGAATGTTCTCTTGAAATTGAATGGACAGCTTCACTGTTCACATTGGTGGTGGTGGTTGAGATCCGCAGTGCTGGCCTTTAATATCACATTCTTCGCATTTGTATCACGGGAGGCGCCTTGAAATCAGCAGCAACAATGGCTAAAATGGGGGAAGGAGATAAGCGATGGATTGTCAGCGAGCGACAGGATGGGAGAAATGTGAACAACTATCATGTGAGTGGCCCTTCAAACATTCAGATTATGCGACTTCTTTCTAATAATCGCTTGCGGGCTGTTGGTTCTCGCAATTTGGTCCCAGGAGTAGATGAGTGGAACAGTATCTGCTTGCAATGTGTGCCTGGTGCAAGTTCATTGTTTGATGAGTAGGCAATGTGGCTCTCCGCTGCGTCTCACTGCCGTGTGCCTGTGTTGCCAGTGGACGGAGAAGGACTGCCTGCCGTGGTCGCAGCGGCGGCTGGGCGAGCTGCTGAGCGGCATTCAGATGCTGCAGGGGGAGGGCGGCTGCTGGGCCAAGACCACCACCCTCGACTCCTGTAAAGGGGATGCGGTGAGCCCGCACCTGCCGCCCGCCCGTATTGGACAACAACTTTGCTTGGCTGTGGAAGGTTAGACGGGCGCTCTCTTGGCCTCATTGTTCTGCCCTCTGCATCATTGCTTCTTTCACCGTCTGCACTGCTGGTGGCTGCTGCGCTGACCTGCAGTGCGCTGCGCAGTACATCAACATCCGGAAGGGCAAGATGATCCCTGGCTACGAGCTGACCGTCAAGCTGGCCTGGGAGGGTGAAGTGCGCGATGGGGAGGGCGCCGCGGTGGCGCGTGCGCGCGGGGCCATTGTCATCCCGTATCTGGCGGACGAGAACGCGGATGAGGACCCCGAGATCAAAGTCAGTGTGGCGGAGGGGGCGGGGCCAGCGGGGACGCGGCTGCGCGACGCCGTGGTCAGCAAGGGGCGGCCGCTCATTGCTGAGGCGCTGAGAATGTTTGTGAAGGAGTTCGCAGCAGGGGGAGCAGCCAAGGATGAGGTGAAAGGGACCGTGCCAGCTGCAACGTCAGCCAAGCCATCGGCGTCAAGTGCTGGAGTCTCCAACAGCGGGGCTAGCAGCAAGGGGGAGGCCGAAAAAGGGTCAGAGCAGAAGGGCGGCAAGGCGGGGACCAAGAGCATCAAGATGACGCAAAAGTTCTATTGCCGGGCGCGCGACGTGTTCGAGGCACTGCTGGACGAGCGGCGTGTGAAGGCTTTCACACAGAGTAATGCCAGCATCGCAGCGGAAAAGGGTCGCGCGTTTTCGCTCTTTGACGGGGCAGTGACGGGCGTGGTCCAAGACGTGGTGCCGTATGAGCTGATCATCCAAAAGTGGCGCTTCAGTAACTGGCCCGACGGCGTCTACTCCACGGTGAGCCAACGGCACACGGCTGCCAGGGCAGGCGCGAGCTGATCAGGATCCAGACACTCTCCTGGTTGGTGGTTGCCAGTACATTCTTCCACGAAATGCACGACAAATCTGAGCCCGTGTCTCCTAGGGCTGCGGTACACTCAATGAGGCTGCCGGCGGCATTCGCGCTGAGGTGTGGGGGGAGCGTGTGTGCAGGTGTGCCTCACGCTGGAGGAGCCGGAGGAGGGCACCACCCTCGTGAAGCTGAGCCAAACGGACATCCCGGACGAGGACAGGTAAGAAGGGAGAGGCGGACAGGCTTCACACGGGCAGAGGCCATGGCCTCTATGCAGACGCTCGCTAGCTTGTGAATACGTTGGTCTGACTCATTGCACAGGTGCTGCGCGGAGTGTTGGGAGGCCCCCTCTTCATGGCCACCGGTACCTTCGTAACTGCTCGACTGGAAAGAGTGCTTCGAGCCAGATGAGAGCTTCAAATCACCTGTTTCTATACCCCTGTGCCCAGGTACGGCAACGGCGGGATCGTGGAAACTGCGGAGCACGGGTGGCGGGAGCTCATCTTCCAAAAGGTGCGTGCCTGGACTTGGTCTTCCTCTCAGATGACCCATTCTGACCCCAACGAGCCATGGGGGCAGGTGCAAGACCTGTCTGGTGGCAACGGCTTCACACACAGGATTTCTGTGTAGGTTTATTGTAGTATCATGTCCGAGCTTGGCACAGTCGACATTTGGGGACATTGCATGACCCTTGCGTGTATTAGTCTGATCAATGCTGTTATGAGGGGCTATCTGATCAACAAAACGTACCATCGTTCTGTTGCTTGCAGATCCGTGTGGTATTCGGCTACGGCGCTTGACAAAAGGGCCTGATCGATCAGATTCCGTACCTGCCAGAACTTTTCTCGTAACCTGCCCTCAGAACAGTGGGCATTGTTTGCACCAAACAGACCTTGCAAATATTGTCAGGGATGTGAGGCTATTCGTGTTATGAAGAGCACGTGCCTGATCTAGCTGGATGATTGGAAGAGATTGTTTGACATACAATCTGTGACTTATGGATCACGCTGGAATGGGTCTTGAATTATGCAAATTGATTCTCGAAGTGAGATCGACAGTACTTTCAACGGACTTAAGAATGTCCTTGGATTGGGAATGGGAAACGATTCGCTGCCAACAAGTAGCGTGCAGGGACGTACCCGAGCAGCAGTAACTGCATGGCAATTGAGAAATGACTAACCATGCCCGGCTGGGTCGACTGACCACTGATAATATATACGTATACTAGATGATAACTTGAACGCGCACTTTGGCGGCAGCGTGGCGATCATTGCTTGATGCAAACGAGTGGTTTTCTTTCAACTATCCCCGATGCAGTAAAATAATTGAATGAGCATCTAACATACAAGCGACCACCGGCGGCGGTCCGATCATTCCAACTTCTATCCGATGCGAAACTGATCTGTGGGCCACAATTCGATACACAAGCAACCTGAACCCGCGAGTCTAGAGGCAAAAAGTTGGAAAATCCGTGCGCGATAGGTAGTTTCGCGCCGAGTCGCGTATGCCTGTACTCACGGCGATTTTTACCCGCAGAATCGCCATTTTCTGATATTTACGATCATATTTGACATGGTCGGTATCAAATGTGAGTCAAATAGGAAGATGTAAAATGTTGGAGTTCATGGGGAGGGCGTATACAAGAGATTGACCGGAGGGTTTGGTCCAAATATTTTTTTCGACCGACTTATGGCAGCTTTTCGGCCAGATTTTGACTTTTGCCCCGTGTCCGGGCGATTTTGACCTCCGAAAACGGCTAAGTCCCGAATTTTTACACTGAACCCAAAACCGCCGTACGACTCGCCGGCGGTAATTCGAAAATTCACCGCCGCGCTCGACTCAAACAGATAACGAAGAATCTACCGCGAACAAAAAAGAAATCGCAGGTTGCTTGTGTACGGTCGCGAACGCGCACGTTCAGTGCATGGCCCAATTCTAAAATTCAATGAATGTGAAGTTTTAGTGTATGATGCACCAGTAGAGCCAGCTAGCTTAGTGCGAGGGCGCGGCGACGTCTGATCGCGATTCGAGATCACCAATACGTTCATAGTTAAGTTGCACGCGCCGCGCGGCCACGTTATATAGCCTGTACCACTACCGTAACAATCCACATGATGCCGCGCAGTGCGCGGGCGGCGCGCACTTCAGTGTGTCATGCGCATGCATACTAATGATTTATAATGCGCAGCTATATATATACTATACCGTTCCCGGCGCGCAGCTGGCTATTGCACATGTTCAGAGGCCGGAGGCCCTGCTAGCGCTCACTAGTATATATAGGCGCGATCTTGCATCATGATTGGCATATACCCATATGCGGCCGCCCGCCCTGCGCCATGGCAGGCTAGCTGCGCCAAGCTGCATGCCATGTGACATGTGGCTGGCACTGACTCAGTGAGCTTCGAGGCCGACTGCATTTGACGTGCCAGCTATAGGACGGTCCGATCGTATAGCCTCTATATATACATGTGTGCAGTCACGAATGATCTAGTATACGAGGCTTGACTTGACGGGCGTCACGGGCGGGGGCCTAACCATGAGCTATACTGATATGAACTTGTTGCATCCGGATCAAAGGTAATTCTTTTGTATATGAACCGTATGTGTAGTTTTGAGAATTGAAAATGTGAATGCATGATGCGAGGCAGCTCGGACAAATGGTCCGACTAGCTCAGAGCCGACTCTGAGATGTCAGTGGATTCATTTTCATCCCACTGCATATATACAGCTACTCACGAAGATGTGACTTCAAAAAAGTTAGATTGGGCTGCACAAATCGGGAGGCCATTGCCACCGCCTGGCAACCTTTGGCTGGCCGCCTGGCAACGATAATGTGAGGTATGAGTCCTCAAAATACAACGTGACGGGGATCCACAGACACTAGGAACAGTAATTCGGACTATAGCCTGCCTGTCTATACTGGTCAAGACTGCAGTTGTACTCTAAATGTTTGGCAGACCCTCTGACCATGTTCGAATGTTACAAAAAAGGGTCGATTGCCAATAAAAAACATCGATTCTTCGGCTCGTTCTGCTATGTTTATACATTTTGAAGGCTGCTAATCATACTTCTTACCTACGAGAAGTCCCTGTCGGGGAATATGATTGGCGCCACCATGGTCCAGATGTAGAGTGCTGCTGTCACCCATTGAGACACGATCTTGACCCAAACGGACGGCCATCCTACGTCGATGATGTCCTTGCCCTCAATGCCGGCGGAGCCCCAGCCCGTCAAAAGCATGGCACTGCAGACGATGTGGACAAGAATTACAAAAAGGGCAACCACAGCCAGCTTCCCTTGTGGAGTCTTGAGTCATCAAAGACGGTCCCAGTTGCACCTTGACAAGCACGAATGCATGAAGCATCATAGCGCAGATACCAGCAACCAAGGCTGCCGATCAGTTTTTGGACACACGCCTGAGCAGTGGACCAAGGTGACCGTCTCTGGTCGTAGATTGCGATAAGCTGTTGCTCCTGCTGCCCTTCATGGCCAGCTCCTTAACTCCAGTGACCAGCACCCCAGACGCTGCCATCCGTCCGAATCTCACCTGTACATGGACGCCAGCGCGAAGATGACGTGGAAGAAGCTGTACACATAGCGCACAGGCTTGGGGCGACCCCCTGTCGACTTGCCCCGCCGCATCATGGGTGCGTCATCATCGTCACTCTCCGACACCTCGTCGATTGGATCCGCGCGGCCGTGCTTGCCCTCTGCCGTGGTGGGCAGCATGGGCTCCCGGGAGGACCCGCGCGGGGAGCCAGGCGGCGAGAGGAAGGTGCCGCTGGAAGAACCGGCCCGCACCGCCGAGTAAACGACGGAGAGCAGCGTGAGCAGCATGCCGCTGGCCAGGGTGCCGGCGGAGACGGCGTTGAGGTGCTTGGCGAGGCCGTTGCAGGCGTAGGCGCGCGGCTCGCTGGCGAGGGCGCTGTAGCAGAGGTACATGGAGTAGACGGCCAGGATGGAGCTGGGGAGCAGACTGCCGTTGACGGCGGGGTGTAGCGAGGCGGCGGTGAAGCCGGCCACGAGGAGCAGCGAGAAGGTGATGAAGAACAGGTTGAGCTGGCAGTCCTCGCCCGCGGGGAGGAACCAGTGCAGCAGCAGGCCCGCCATGGTGAGCGCCAGCAGGAAGCAGAAGAGCGACACGCCCAGCAGGGCCAGGTACCTGGGCACACGGACAGCAGGCGTGTCGAGTCAGCTGGGCGCTCGGGACCACAAAACGGGCCCAGCATGGACGTTCAGCATCACCTCAATGACGCTTCTGCATCAATCTGCGACCAAGATGGGGAGGAACGGCTTACTCTTACAAACGGCTCCCAGGCTCGCTCTTCTGTTCCTCGAGGGCTGCAACAAGGACGATAGCAGTACCAGCTGGCTTGTGCAGCAGACCTGAGGCCAGCTCGAGGAAGGCTCACCACTTTTGCTCGTCCTTCTCGACCCAGGCCGCGTTCCACGAGTGAGAAAAGTCGAGGAGGATGACGACCTGCACCAGCAAGAAGAGACCCGACCCAAAGCGTGCCACCTGGCCTGCACAACGCGGCAGCGAAAACAGTGTCAGGGTCGATGCCTAGATGCTCGTCGCCAAGGAATGCCATATACGAATCCGCCAGCTCGATCACAACTTACAAATAGTGCCAATCAATCAAGAAGACCTGAACGTCCCAGCCTGCGAAAGCAGAATAAGTTTTTGGTTGTGTGTTTCAACGCTCGCCAGCTGCGCATGCTGGCAGGGAGGCTGGGGAAGAGAGGGCCTCGAGCATGCTGCTATGTCTCACCATACGCCCCAATGAGGCCGTTTGGTGCGAGGAAGGCCAGCAGGATGAGCAGGCCCCAGAGGCAGAGCTTGAGCATCCAGCCGCCGTGGTGCCAGCCGTCGCGCTGCTCACGCTGGTCCTTCACGCCAATCAGGACCAGGGCAAACAGGGTGAAGAACGCCTGCAGCCGGAGGAGCCGCATACACGGGTCAGGGCACCGGCGGCACCGCCTCTCAGCAACAGCTAGCCAACTGGGGCCCATGTGCACGAGTAGTCAGCTGAGACCCGCAGACCGATTTTCTGCACTCCTCACAACCATTTTTTGAAGGGCTAAACAGGCTACGCAGTCTTCTTCCATGTGCCAGCCCCGCACGGAGGCTCCTACATAAGCTACACCAGCTCAAGAGGACCCTTTGACGTAGAGGTGTCTGCAGATTCTCAAATGGAAGGGTTTAGGGAAGGCGACTTACGAAGCTGCCAAAGCTGACGCGGAGTACAGCTTGCGTGCCGTACCATTCTTTGCTAGGTTTCAGCCCAATTGCATGGATCCCTGCCAAAAACATTGGTTGCAGGTTAAGTTGCAAGTATTTGAAAAGAATAGTTGTTAGATTACATACCTACATCTTGCGTGCAAGGAACCAAAGTTGAACTGGTGAAACAAAGTTGACAGTTCTATGTCTAGCATTTGAGCTTTTTCAGCTTTTTGTCCTTACTACGACCTTCCAATGTACTTTCCAGTAAGATGGAAACCTAAAGCTGAGTTGTACTTTCGAAGCCCCCCATGTCTGTTGTGTAGATGAAAGAGCGCTGCAACTCGTGACGTGCAGTTCCGGCTTTAGGGTTGCGAGTGTTCTACAAAAACAAAACCAGGGCAAAGACTAAAACAGCGTCTTGATCACGTGACCGTGCACTCCCCAACTTCAACCTTGCGAGGCTGCTCTCTAGCATCTGGCCACCTCTGACCTGTTCACTTATCACCCGGAAGCACTTTCCAAACACAGAAAGGATGGACGGGACTGCGCCCGGTCCTGACGCGCCAGCATCGGCAACCGGTACTCGCAAACTCACAGGGAATATGGTCGAGCAGTGGCTCCGCAAAGTCCCGCAGCAACCATGCCAGTAGCATGGTCATCAAAAAGATGCCGCAGTACGCCAGACGTGCGCTCCTGCGGCTGATGCCGCCGGCCACGCCTCTGCATGCTGCGCACGCACAAGTCGCGGCACATGATGCGGCGCACGCCCCGAGGCTGGTAACCACGAACATTGCTGCAGACAGGGAGCCCTTATGCGACTTATTTACGTGTCGCGTAAGCCTGTGACACTCCGCTGGTGGGCGCCTCCGCGTGCCTCCGTCTTCCTCCTGTAGTACGATTTAATACATAATTTACAATTCTAAAACTTCTTCTCTTCCTAGGTGCGCTGTGACTTGGCATGCACGCACGAGTTAAAACATTGCACAGAGGGTATTGCATCTAGGTGTGGAGCGAAGTATCCATCTTGATGTTGATCTTGTAGATTTCTAGTTTGGCGACGGTTCAACGCAGAGTCCGGTGAGTCGTGAGTCGTGCAGTCCGGTGACCGGAACCAACGGAACTCGGTTGATATCAAAGTATGAAAGTTGGAGTTCAAACCCTTGCCGCGCCGCCTGACCAAGTTTTCCAATTCGAAATTGCGGAAGCCGTCCGATGAAGGCTTCTTCTTAATCGGACTGCCCGAGATACGGGATAGGCAAACTGGACTTGGGTCAGGCAAGCAGGTTTGCCACAGAGCTCAACGGGCAACAATTTGAACACCATGTGAATCTGACAGAGCTAGGGAAGCACGCCATTGGCCCATTGCGCCACCATTTTCCAAGCTTCTGTCTGTGGTGCAGAGGTAGCTAGCTAGGAGCTGGTTTTAGGGCCCCATAGGCAGGTCTACCAGGCGCCCTTCAACAGCAGGCGAAACTCAGTCTTCCCATCTTCACTACTCTTTTGCCACAAAGGAGATTCTCTGGTCCTCGCTTTCGAGCTGCGGGAGCTTTTCTGTGCATTTTGTTAATCCAAGGTCTTCTTTACTGGGGAGGTTATCTAAATCCTGATGCTTAAGCTTAGCCAGTTCTGTAGTACATTTGGCAGCAGCGACAGAGCAAATATTAAATCATTTTGATTTGTGTGAGGAGTTCCTGCATCTTTGTGAGAAGGCCGTCCTTCCTGTCAGAGTCCACTGATGTTGCACGAGAGCTTCTAGAGTCGGGGCCTAGGTGGAGGTACACAAGGTGTGGTCGTCGAAAGTCTATTCTATCAGGCCTGTAAAGGACTTCGAGAAGGGCTTGAAACCCCTAGCAGCAGCAGAGAGATCATGCAACCGAGGAGGTATTGCTGAGAACAAGTGAAGCTTTAGGGCAACCTCAAAGGTGAAGCACATCTCCTTTCTATTTCTCCTTTTGTGACTTTATAGCATGAAAGCTTCAGCGGTACTTGACTGTCTTGCGGCATCAGTTTACCATGAAGCAAGCTGCTCGGTATGCAGCGCACCGAATCGGTCTGACGTGTAACCGACTGAAGAGCTTGTAGATGTCCAACGGAAGCTGGTCATCCTGAGCTGTCGGCAATTGTCAACAGGAGTCTTCCTGTGTTCCTTCATCGCCTTGAGATGGTTCGGACTTGACTACCTGTTGTGCTTGCCCACCGTCTGTGAATACAATTCCGTTCGATTGTTCTCTCTTCAATGGTAGGACAGGGGATCTTGCATCCGCGAAAGAAGGGCATGGTCGTTACTGCTCTGCTTCTTGTTTCCAGCGGCATCAGCCTTGGCTGCCCGACGCTTATCTGAATGCATTTTGGTCTCCTTAATGCAGAATGACTCCACCTGCCACTGGGCGAATCCAGAAAGCACGCAACGAATTTTTGGTGTCGGAGAAAACAGGTCGAGCTGTGCTGGCGGAGAATGATGAGAACAGGCCCAACATGGACGCAAGTGTATCTGGGATGGATGAAGAGCAACTAGATCCCAAGCAGGCTTTGCGAGGAAAGGAGGTCAGCAGCGCAAGCTCAAGTCCTATGGCTGGTCCTGAGTGGTCACCTTGGTCACATGCCTGTCCTTTCAGACTCATTGGGCAACCCTGTTTCTTGCGGTCCTGCTGCAGAGCATATTTTGTGCAAGCAACATGACCATCTGCCAAACCTGCTTGCATTCATTGCTCGATTCCCCGCGATTGCGCCTGAGATACTAGAGATGGTTATGACACATCTTCTTCAGCTTTGAAAACAATTTCGTCGGCACCTACTCTCCCCGCCAGTCTATAACTGAGAACAGTTTTGTGCAATTGGCACCGGCGCAGAGCTGACGTTTGACCCCCTGATGTGACAATTCCTCTGCAGTCAACATCTTGCGAGGTTGGAAGCCTGCAGAAAGGGAAGGACGAGAAACGGTGGCAACTGGGGGACTTTGACATTGGCAAGCCTCTTGGGAGGGGCAAGTTCGGAAATGTATACTTGGCACGAGAAAAAGCTGTGAGTCCACCTGACATGTTCCTTCTCTTACGAGAACATGGTAATTCCAAGTGTCAGACTTCCTTAGTTAGTCATACATTTGCCGCAGCCCTTCTTGGACACCGAAGACAAACTTTGGGGGGAAGGGTGGGTGGGGATAAGTTGAAAGACATGAGACCTATAGTTGTGGCAAAGTGTGTGCAAGCCCACTGCACACACTTCACTGGCAGCAACTCCCAAGTTTGTCTTTGCCCCCAGCCAAGGTTCTGTTTCCCAGTTGTGCGCGCTGAACGTGTCCTTCCCTTTCCCCCTCATGCAGAGCAAGTACATCGTGGCCTTGAAGGTGCTCTTCAAGAACCAGCTGCAGCAGTCGCAGGTGGAGCACCAGCTGCGGCGCGAGATCGAGATCCAGAGCCACCTGCGCCACCCCAACATCCTGCGCCTCTATGGCTACTTCTATGACACGGTGTGGCCACCGCGCAAGCTCACCCCGTCGCTCTGGCATGCCACAGGACTGTCTTGCTCCCTTGCCCGGCTCCACTTTCAGAGATATGCACTTGAGTGGTGACATGATGATGGGTTTGTGGTGACACGGCCTGCTGTTGCTTGGTGCAGAACCGTGTGTATCTGATCCTGGAGTACGCGGCCAAGGGCGAGCTGTACAAGGAGCTGCAGCGCTGCAAGTACTTCAGCGAGCGCCGCTCCGCCACGTACATCGCCTCGCTGGCGCGCGCGCTGCTCTACTGCCACTCCAAGCACGTCATCCACCGCGACATCAAGCCCGAGAACCTGCTCATGGGCATCAAGGTCAGCGCGTCCGGCAAGCACCGGGAAAAGGATGTTATGCTGCAACAAAGTGCTGGTTGAGGTTCTCCGACTGGTTTTCCATTGCGCGGCATCTCTCCCGACAAGAGAACTGTGATTGCTCGTATTGTCCTCTGTATCGCTCTCAAATCTCACGAAAGGACTCTTTCTGAGACTCTTCCGTTTGTGCAGGGCGAGTTGAAGATCGCCGACTTTGGCTGGTCGGTGCATGCTCCAAACAGCCGCCGGCAGACCTTGTGCGGGACGCTGGACTATCTGCCGCCAGAGATGGGTGAGGCCACGTGTCTCTTGACACTTGAGAAACTTATGCACAATCATCCATCGCAGCCATGCAAAGACGCTTGAGGCGACATTTGGTGCTTCACCTGTCGACTCACACTTTTCAGGGGACTGCAATGCGCGGAGCAAAGCTGTTCATCCAAAGTCGGCCTCTCTTGTGTGCTTCTTTCTGTGGTCGACAGTTGATCCTTGACCGTGAGCTGTTTCCATGATCGTTCGTGTCCACAGTCCGGTTGATCTCTGGAGCTTGCTCAGAGACCAACGATGCCATGGGCGTCTCACCGCCGTGCCGTGCGTTTCTGTCCCGTGCAGTTGAGGGCCGCGAGCACGATGCCACGGTGGACGTGTGGAGCCTGGGCGTGCTCCTCTTCGAGTTTCTCTTTGGGGTGCCCCCCTTTGAGGCCGCGGGCCACTCCGAGACGTACAAAAGGTGCGCAGCCGATTACGCACCGGCGGGGGCAGCTCGGGCAGCGTGCCACCTCGCCCTTCACTCCGCTGGCCGTTCCTAGAAAAGTATGCAATGTACTTGCTTGCTCGAAGTACCCCTTAAGATTCTGAGTACGTCACTGCTTGCTGTGCAGGATTCTGCGAGTGGACCTCCAGTACCCAGCCCACCCGCAAGTCAGCCTCGGGGCAAAGGACCTGATCACAAAAGTGAGTCAAGACACGTTGGCGCGAAATTACATGTTTCTCTTTGCCGTCCGCTTCCAGGTCAGCAATGATGTTCAATGATCCTAATCGCTGCAGGACTGTCCGTACGTTTGTTGCATGGCTTTGTGCACGTAGTGAGAGCCTTCTGAAGGAGCCATGTCTGACTTGATTCGCTGGGTGGTAAGGGCCGAAGACTGAAGTGATTCGGCGTTCCCGTCTGTCTTGTGTCCAATGATGGCAGAGTTTCGCTCCTCGAAGAAGTGCCTGCTTTGACCGTGGGCTGTTTTGTGCAGCTTCTTATAAAAGACCCCAAACAGAGGATGCCTTTATCGCAAGTCCTTCAACACCCGTGGATCCTGGCCAACGCTGAACCAAGCGGGAGTTACACCTCATGACCCCCGGTTCGCCTCAGCCTGCCTGCTCAATGCTTGGAGCAGGTTTAACGAATAGATGCTACTGTTTACATTGGTCCCTGAGGATTTGACATCAGCGGCCGGCCTTGTAGAAGGGAACTACGTTAGATAAGTGCAGACGCCTATTTGCTTCAATCGAAGGTCCACTCTGGGCTTCCGACTTATCGTCGACGATCTTATGCAACTAATTCTGCAAAGCAGGTCCTTTTCATTTAAGTCGTGTATCATCTGTCAGCACAAGCGTGTCAAGGTACCCTCGCGCAAATTGCTTCGGAAGTGGACAGCATTTCCTTTTAGACGAGAATGTGATTACAGTCAACTTCTGTGCATACCATGCGGCTCTGCAGAAACATTGTCGTGATGATTCCAGTGAAGGCACGTATTCGGTCGGCAGCTAGACTCAGATGCATATACAGTTTTCCGGCCAGCACCGTCCCCGCATGTGGGACATCTGGTATATGTGCGGCGGCCCGCGCATTATGCAATTACGCCATGATGCATGCATGCGCGATGAATGTATACGTACGTCCATGCAATATATAGCTCAGTGTACTATAGGCACAATGATGCACGTGCGTATATATGACAATAAGTTGTAATGCAACGTACATGTTGCTTAGTATCATGTATATAGTATACGTGAGTCCGCATGGTCGGAATGGTGCACATGAGCGCGATTGCAGCCTGCTTGTCGATCCCAGGTTAACAAGTATTTATATACTCAGTAATAGTGATTCACAATACATATCTAGCTGCGTGATCTTGCGTGCGAACGCGTACTGTTCTTCCAAACGATCCTGGCATTAATTGCTGCCTGGCTCTATCATTGTCCATGATGTTCAATTCGATGAACTCGGTGAGTCACGTGACTGGCTTCTTCTCAATTCAATGATTGACCCCATGGATCCGACGTACCGAGGTCTTCAAGAGGACCTGTTAGAAGAGCGTGCCAAGGCCAACTCTCACCAAGTCAGATTAAGAAACAATACGCTACTGATTAGCGCGTTCGACCAGAGGAGGGCTTCAAGGACCTCGCGGTGTTCGACAAAGCCCACTCGAAGTAATCACATCGTGCCTCGGGATTGGAGCTGGGACCCTGCATGACATGCAATGGCACTCAGTGAAATGAAGGTTTGTAAGGATCAGTGATCGAGATACCGTCTTGGATTTTATGGAGATCCTAAAACTTGCTGGTGAGAGACTGTACCAAGATTTGTTCACTTTAGCTGCAGCCCAATCCTTTCAATACCTCGAATCTCATCTGTTTGCTTCTTTCTTCCTAGGCTCAGCCGGTCTTGTGCAGAAGATGATTACCTCGACGTGGCAAAGCGCAGTAACAGTTTGTTGGAAAGGAACGGATTGCTGCTGCAAGAATGGTGCACTTTACGCGCGGAAGGACAACCCGGTCAGACTGGACGAGCCCCAAGCGAGTCTCAACACGACACTCGACACCCTGAACTGGCACCAGAAGGTGCCTGGAAGTCTCTTTTGCACAGCGTTTCTTGAGAAACTTCCAAATAACCAGTCAAGCTCGCGTTCTTAATCAGGGTCGACCCCGCACGTTAGCACATAAGATCAGCCGCCGGGGGCGGCCGGCTGTGTTTGTGCGGGTGGCTCACGGTGGCCCTGGCGCAACAGAAGAAGGTGCGCCCCACGGTGGGCCCCGCCTTCTTGACCACGCGCGCCACTGCAGGCTCCCCGTGCCGGCACACCGGGTGCCGCGCCGCCATGCGCGCCCGCAGCGCCGCCCACCCCGCCGCAGCGTCCCCGCCAGCCCGCGGCTCCGACCAGGCACCGCGCGACGACCCCTCGACATCCGCTGACGAGGTATCCTCGATGTCGTCCTCGCGCTCCTTTGAAACGCTGACCGGTGCGGCGAGCGCCGTTACCGTCGCCCGTAAGGAGCTGCTCCGCTCGACTGCCCCGCTCAACTTTGGGGCGACCGCTGCCCCAAAGAGCTCCCGCAAGCTCCGCTGCTTGGCGGGCCGGCCGCCGTCGGCTGCCCCTTTCCGCTTCTTTCCAAGTTCCGGCCCGCGGCTGCTCGCCCAACCGGCCAGCCCGCCCGTCGTCCTTCCAGAGTGCCCATTTCCGAGGCCCGCATCCGCCCGGCGTGCTGCTGCCGCGCCGTCTACGGCAGGCCCGCTGCTGGTGCTGGCATCGCCGGGAGCGGGGGGCAGTGGGGCCGCCACAACGGCGGCAGCGGGCCCCACTGTGGGACGGCTGCCGAGGTAACCCACTGCGAAACGGACACACGGCGCATGAATCCAGGTGTACGGCGAATCTTATGCGGGATTGACATTGGATTATCCCGGATTACAGACCTGATGAAGCACGATCGAAACCCGGGAAACAACGGAATACATCGGATAAAAGCCGGATGACGACCGGATCCGGCAGCGGAAACCGGCTGAGAGGCAAGGGCCGCCAGAGACTGAACTCCGTAGCTGTGGACTTCGCAGCATCCACGCCTTTGTTCAGCCCGTCCCAGCAAGTGGCCGTCTCAAGGTCCAGAAGGAAGAGGCTCAAGAGAAGAGAGCTGCCAAAGGTGGTGGATGCGACGACCGCTTTGACGTTGTCAAGCTCGACAACTCATCGGCGCGGTGCCTCACTGCAAACCATAGCACAGGGTCACGCGAAACACGGCTGAAACGATACGAGGGCGATCATGCACTGCGGCGCTCACGGATGCGCGTCTGCTTGCCCCGCAGCTCGGGCATGAAGCGCGTCGAAAGCGGCGGCACGCGGTGCGATGGCCCCTCCGGCTGCGGCCGCAGGCATACGAAGACGGGGCGGTGGTCCGACGAGCCGGGGAACACGCTGCAGATGTCCGCGCCCACCACCTCGCACTCGGCCAGCCCGTGCGCACCGTCTTTTGCGGAACACGGCCAGCATGCCACTTCGGGCCGCCCGACGGGTTTATCGACGCTAGCAGCCGGTAGGTCGTCTTTCAGGCTGTCCTGCCCCTGGCCGGCAACCCGAACAGACCCCTCTGTCTGCCGCTGTTCCTTCTGCGTCTCGTTAACCTCTTCTGTACATTGGACTGTCGACTGGGGGCTGCATCCCGCTGTGTCAGCCCGAAACCGCGCTAGTCCGTCAGCTGCCGCTGCCTCGTTTGCCCCAGTACTGTGTCGGCGCACCGCTTCCCGGAACTCCTCAAACAAGTGGGCTTGCAGCGATCCCGACAGGCCACCCGCCCCCGCAACTCCTCGCGATCCCTCGCGAACATCAAACGACCCTGCAAGTGAGGCGTCGGTATCAACCATGTGCTGCAACGCCCCTTCAAACGCCTCCCTCTGTCCGCTTGTAGAGCCTACGCAGTCCCTTCTATACTCATCTGCCTCTGCAATCCCCACTTCCCCAGTCCCGTGACCACCCCAATCTACCGCCTGCTTGCCCCCTTGCCCTTGTGCCGGCCGGCGCTGGGCGGCGTGCTGGCAGAGCCCCGCCACGAGTATGAGGTCAATGCGCGAGCCGTAGTTGAAGGCCGCGGCACCGCTGGCAGTGGAGAAGCACGTGTAGGCGTCCCGCCGGTCGGGGTGCACTGTGCGGAAGGTGTCCGTGAAGGGGCCGCCGTTAGCGCGCAGCATGGACTGCAACCACACACGGCTCCTGTACAAGGGAAGGTGCGTTACGGGATGGTTGGCCGGTCGCCCGTTTCGAAGTATTGACTTTGACACCCAAAGTGGAGCAGTACTGGCTGGTCAGACTGCACAGCCGCACCAAGGAGGCATGAAACGGCTCGATTTCACCAAAAGGCGGAATCGACTTGTCACACTATGCACGATGAAGCTGGACCTGGTTCGGTTCGTGCAGCACAAGACAGATTCAATGCAGGTGGCCTGGCGTTTATCCGAATAGTAGACCAGAACACGTCTTGATATACTGGGGGCTCAACAAACAGGCTCCTTGTGCCCCTCCATTGGCTGGTCTGAAGGCCCCTAGGCAGTGGTGAGGAACCTTGTCATAACCATGTTGTGTAAACCGAATCAGATCCGCTGAATTCTTGGCCCTCTTGAGAGACAAGTTGTTGCTGCGCCTAGTCGGCCCATTGAGAAATTCGGAGCAAGGCGGCACGAATGAGTCACGGGCTGGCGTTGACGTCCGGCCCGGCGTGCACGCTGTCGACGGCGGCGGGGGCGATGTTGAGGTCGCCCACCACCACCAGGCGCCGGCCCGCCGCCAACAAACTCTCCCATCGACGCTGGAAAGGGAGCAAAGACTCACCGTGTCAGCACCCAGAAGCAGGGACCCCCTTGACAAAAGAGCAGTGATCAGGACGCGAGTAGTGCGCTCTATACGCACTAGCCCTTTTGAGCAGAAGAATTCACATGGCCCGAGCATGTGGCTCTGCAACAGAGACGGCAAGCCCTGGAAGAGTAGTTCAGACTCCCCTACAGGGTAGACATGAGAAAAACTGCGGAAAACCAAAGTATCCAGATCATAAGGCTAACCTGCACATCCGCGCCAGTATCACAAAAGACGGAGTAAATCTACGAACAACTGCCGAAATGTCTGTCGAAGGGTCTGGGTTGGCCACAGGAGCTTGGGCTGGAGTGGGGGCTGACCTGCAACGTGCGGTAAAAGTCGAGCTTGAAGGCGATGCGCTCATCGTCCCCCGGCTGAACACACGGCCCGTAGATGTTGAACAGCACTGCGCATGCATGATGGGGGCTATCGTCAGCTCCGAAGCATTGTGACTCAGGGAAATCGTCACCGCGATGCTCACAAGCCAAGCAAACTGGCGCTGGTGCCATTCAGTTCTCTGGCCAACATCTACAAAACATGTGTCCATGCTTCGAAGCCTATGTTTTGTCTCCGATTTACAAAGTGGCAGTGCTGTACAGACCCTGTTCCAGCCGCGAAACCGTCAATATCTTCAGATCTCCAAGCCTTTCCTCCGCTCAACCTCTTTGTTCCCCTTCTCACCGAAGGCGCCATGGTCGGTTACAACCGTCCTGCCCTCCTGGTCCAGCTCCTCCAGCCGCGCCCGGCTCCCCGTCTCGCCCGCCCACACGGCCTCATACTGCCCCACAACTCCCTCTGCCAGCGCCCCCCCGGCCCGCAGGTGCTGCACGCCCGTAAAGCCCTCCTCCGCGGCAGTGGGCAGCACTGCGCTTGTCCCCGAAGTGCCACCCCCGGTGCGGCAGAAGGTGGCCACGCCGGACCAGCCGCCGCGCGCGTGCTTGCCCCGGGGGAACGCAAAGAAAGACTCGTAGCCGTCGGCGACGGCAACGTCCGCAGACAGGTCAGTGCGGGCCAGCTTGGTCTCCTGGGGGAGGGGAAGAGCGGCAGGAGCTGAAAGCATTTTTACGAAAAGAGGGGGCAGATCAAAGGCACCTCTTTCTCACAAAGCTGGCTGTGAGGTGAATTGAAACGAACATGAAATTGAAGTACAAAAGGGCAAAACAAGTAGCCCCGTCTCTTCCCCACTCTGACGGAGTGCCAGGTATTCACAGAAGCTTGACAAAGACGCAATGCTGTAACTGCCCTCCTGATTGCTTAGCCCTCACATAGAACTGCCTGACATATTGTCCCCCGTCAACATGGAAAGCAAACTGCAAAGCATGAAACTGTCTGGACGTTGATTCAAACAAAGTCCTGTCAATCTCGCACCAAAATTATCAAGAGGACAAAGTTCGACATGCAACCCCCACCTGCAGACAGATGATGTCAGCATCGAGGGCGTCCAGCAGCTGCTTGAGGCCGCCAAACTCCTTGGCGCGGGGCCGTAGCCCGTTCACGTTGAAGCTCACAATCTTCATCTCTGAACAGGTTGCTCAGAAGGCACGCCAGCTGTCGCGCAATCAGCGGAAGAAAAACAGGCACTTCAAGCTGTGCCGATGAAAGCACCACCACAGCACCAGGCAACACCATCAGGGAAGGCCGATGCGCCCCTGCAACTAGTGATCCTCCCGAGTTTCCGTGCTGAGCACATGGTGTGCTGCGATGCTGCATGCAGACGCGTCTTCTTCACGTAGTGCAGCGCTTGGGTCAGGGCCACTTTTAAAAAGTGTGAAAAGGGACGACAGCCCTCTTCTTTTAACACCTGCTTTGCTTTGAAGGAAGAAAGCGGCTGTCGTAGCAACATAAGGGACATCTGAAAAGGCCGTATTCTGAAAGCTGGGCGGGGCGAGGTGTGAAAACCTGAGCCTGTTCTTACCACCCAAGATTTACCTGCCCCGTCCCTTCATTTGCGAGGCAAATTGCGCATATGCCAAGTCTTTTTCTTGCATATGAAAGAAAGAAAATGCTGCCAGTGCAGGGTCCTCGGTGGCGTGATGGAGCGGCTGCGGCAGAAGGTGGCTGGCCTGCACACCTGCGCTGAGGAGTACACGGAACAGTGGCAGCAGCAGCACGTCCGCCTGCTGGCACTTCTGGGCAACGCGCAGGCAATCCTGGGCAGGCTGCCGGTGAGCACCGATGCTTGAGCTTCTCATGTGCGATGTCACCAACTGTTACTTCGAGCTGTCCAGCTGACTCGGCGGTGCATTCCGTCACCTTCGAGATTGCCCTGCCTCTTTTCAGCCTCCTCCTAAGTGCCGGCATTGGGGCCAAAGTTGTGCGCTGTGTTAAGTATTACATTGGTGCGACCGGCCAGCCTTGCTCTCCGGCGGAAAGCCCATACCAGTAAGAGGAAGCCTGGTTGAAGGCAGGCTCCTAAAGTAAAGAAATAGCTATTGTTGCAGGTTCTGGCCAACCGTGCCAGCTATGGCGTCTTGGCGGAGGTGGAGGGATACACTGAGCGGCTGCAGGCACAGCAAGTGGGGGCACTCGAGGGCCTTCTCAGCAAGTGTCACGATGCAATGTGGGCTGCCTCTCCACAGTTGTGCAATTCGATCCCATCATTGACGTGCACTTGGTGCCCTTGCGGCATGCTGTCTCATTGCCAGGGGCACATTGCCGCCCGAGCAGGGGCTCTGCGCTGCTCTGTCTCTTCAGGGTCACCACTTGGACTCTTCCTTACGAGCCTGGCAACAATGGGGAGGTGCCACAGTGGTCGCCCCTGCGACAAGATCCATTCTAATCGTTGCGGTGTAGAGAGACCTTGAAGAAGGCACAGATAATGGAATTAGAACCAGTGTGTTCCTCCAGAATCGACAATTCTCTCATTGCCACCAGTGTCTACCATGTGTGCGTCACTTAGCTGCAAGCCCCCTGCCAGCCATGCATCACCTTACTGTTGCCTGACCGGCTCCTCTGCTCCCCGCAGGGCCTCCCTCCGCGCATGTGCGCAGGGCCTGTCCCGCTGCGCCCGCGACGCGCAGCGCCAGGTGGCGTCCCAGCGGCCTCAGCTGACAGTGCAGCAGCTGGTGGGCCACAGCGGCTGCGAGGCGTCGCTGCAAAGCTGCATTGATGGGCTGCGCCAGGTGGCCCAAATGTACGAGGACGAGTGAGTACAGCCGGAAGATCATGACAGTGTCGATGATAGTCTTTCAGGTTGGCTGATGGCGTCCATTGACCTGCCAAGCATTGGCATCGGCCCTCTTGTCTCTTACAAACAGCCCTGTTGCGCTCATCAGCTTGTTGTAGAATGTGGATTTGCAACTTGTAGATAAGTACGAAGGCTTTCAATGGTCCCATCACTTGTCTTGTCAGCCTCCTTTGTGTGCATTTTTCCAATCTAGGCCCCTTCAGCCCAGTCGGGGAGTCTGTCTCCGTAGCCTCGTCTTGTGCTCCTTTGTGAAGATCGCCGTACAGCGACGTTTTCTACTTGTTTTGCCTGTTGTGGTTAAGCCGCGCTCCTTCAGACTTACGCGATTAGCAAGCTACCGTCGGGAGACGCCAATGAACCTGCACAAAGTTTGTTTGCCACGCTAAACGAACCTGGTTGTGGAGTTTTCGCATCCTGTCTCTCCTGTTTTGAGTGACCCTCCGGCTACCTCCTGGAATTGAATGGTGCCGCTCTGTGCATTTGGCACATCTCTGCAATGAATTCACAGCGGGCTTCGTGAGTTTGACACTGGCCGTTAACTTCTCTCCCCCTCCAAGCCTCAAGGACGTCAAACGCTTTTCTTCCTTGGTCTGTACAGGTATCGCTTGATCGAGGCTGCGGTCCCGCGCTTCTCTTACGGCGCTGCCCCCGGCGAGCTGGCCGCCACTGCGGCCCTTCTGGGCGACCAGCCCAGCGTGCAGCACGCCACAAGTGAGCAGCTGCGCTCCCGCACGCTATCGCCTCCCTTCAACAAGTCCTGCATGGGACGCCGTGTTTGCAAATCGTATGGATTTCGTTGACATGTGTTGCGGCTGTGTCTTATTGCTCACTTTCTGGACGGACTGGTGGGTAAGGCCGTGCTGCCATGTTGAGCGCCCGATGCTAGCTCGATTTTGGGAAGAGCGAGGGCGCCGCTGGCTGGGGTTCGGCTGCCACGTGGCTGCGGTCTGTCCCTGGAGTGTCACCTCCAGGTTTCGTCGTGATAGAGTCATAATAATCCTGTAATCAGCTTTCTACCCTGGGACAACTTTTTATGGCCTGAGCTACGCGTTGATCCGAACGAAGCAACTTCATGTGCTTTGCTGATGCAACATCGATGCTTGTGCTGATGTTGTGTGGTCTCACTCTTCTACTCCTGTTTGGCACTTTCGCCCAGTTGCAGTCGTCTTTGATTTCTGTGCCGCTTCCTCGGACGCGTCACTTGCTCTCATTTCCCGCTCCTCTTATGTGACTGCAGTAAGCGAAATCCTCGAAAAAGGTCGGCTGACGTCAACTGGGGAGCGACGTTCGTAGTGGAGGCGCGACACTGACCTCGCGCGGGGGGGATCTTCCGCCGCCCAAGCACGGCCATGCTGTGCCATCGGACTGGCCACCACAGCAAGGTAACCTGAGCTGGCAATCTTTGCCGACGTCTGCTCCTGTTGCGCTCCATCTTTTTCCGTATCCTTTCCGATATTAACTTCCTCCTTCTTCCTTCTGTTCGTGGGTCCCAATCATTTGAATTCAGTCCGATATTGCACAGGTAAGGTCGTCACCGCCTTAGGCGCAGCCTCCTCGTGCGGCCTCGTCGAGTTCCCTAGGCCGTCTGCAGCGACCGCATGCACCCGTGCCTTGCCGCATATCGAATAGTACTAGCAAAGATCAATGTACAGATTTTTCTTATATCATGCGTGCTCGCAGTTGCCTGCTTGCCATTGGTGCATGCCGCTCGATGGGCGGACTGCCACGTCGGATTCGCGCAGCAGCTCCGGACCCGCGTGCATGCCCAGGCCGTCCACACTGGTAAGGTGCGTTGAGCAAATACATACACGGCCCCACTCGGTGCATCAGCAGGATCACCTCGTATTACGATCTTATCTACTTCCGTCTGAGCCGGGACAAGGAGAAACATTCAATGCACCGGGATCGGTGTCAGTGTCGCGGGATCCGGTGCCACGGCGGTGCTTTTGGCCCTTGATGCTTTCTAGAAGTAGGATCTTATGGCGTCTTAGATAGTCATGCCTCAGAGACGACCTGGTGCAAGTTCCGTCGAGGGTGGCAATCCAGCCGCCAGTTAGAGTTCCTTCAAACCCTCCGACGGTTGACTCAACTTCGATTCAGCCTTCTGTCACTACCTTTCCAAAACCGCCCCGGTTATGCAGACACTTATTCTCCTTGTCCCGCACTGTTTGCAGCTCGGTGTTGGGCTGGAGCGAGTCACTGCGCGAATACGACGGGTTGACTGCCAGCTCAGACAATCTCTGAATTTGCTTCGGCCAAGGGACTGGAGCAATTACAACCCACCAACTCTTCCTGTAGTCGGACGGCCAGGAGGCCGGTTGTGGAGCACGAATGCATGGCTGTTGCGCGCTTTCCGAGGGCCGCCCGTATGTGCACATGACGCTTGTTATTGCACCGAGTCCTGAAGGCCGGCTTCTTGCGGATTTGTTGACTAGCCCATCAAAGTAGTCAACTGCTCAATCCTCTGAAAGTGCCGACACGGCCCACTGGCCACTGTCAACAGAATGTTTGGTCCTAGCCGGTTGATTTGACTTTTGGACAGAAATCTTTAAAAGAATGCACATCACCGTAGTTCAGTATTGATTGATTAAATGTTGCACATAGCAGAGTACTCAAAAGTGCAGCCGCGGAGGGATCCATGGTTGAATGACTGATTATAATTACGTGGTCCGACTGTGCGCATGTTCACCATTGCTTAACTATTGGTACGCCAGGAGCCTGACTGAGAAGCGTGCCATGTCGCACAATGTGCGAATATTGCAGTGTAAATGCCCAATTGTTACCATGCCTGCCAGCTGCGCTGCATGAGACTTACAGTGCCAGACTGCATGAATGTACCGCGCGTTCATGATTGCGGCGCGCGGCGGCCGTCATCATTGCATGCATGTGATATGCTCGATCGATCGACTAGTCGCTCGAGCTGCACGCCTATGGCCTGCTATGCGTACAGTTAGTAACTTTGTTTAAAAGGGCGGCCGGTCCATCGAGCTGTACGTACGTACCATGCGCGGCGGCTGCTGTACGGCTCAGCTGATTCAGGATCCCGCATGCGCGGCTAGCAATTCGAGCTAAACAAATTAATTGGCTGAATTGAAAGAATAAAAATCGCAATCCGATCATTCGATACCGCGTGGTTGCCATGTCGCAGTATATGCAGTGACAGTGGGTGACATGTTTCATGCAAAGCGAACACTACACGACTCGCTACTGATCCAATCCGCTGTCGAGATTCAAGACATCGAAGTACTAAAACTTTTGACATTTCTGATTTGTAGGTCGAAGAAGACGTACCGAACGCAGCAGCTCGTGCCTGGCTGGCTAACCTGAGGGCATGCCAATGTGCGTGCCCGGAGAAAATGTTAATATCACTTCAAATCCGCTCTAACGTACTATTCGACTATCTAGCTATCCCTCGCTTTTGCCTGGACACCGATCGATCGACCATTATGCTTCCATCAATTCAGACCCGGTCTGATCAAATCATTTGCAATCTGTACACGATTATGCTACCATCGGTCTAAGGTTGAATCTGTCTTTACTACTTAATGACAAATGGAACCGATGAGCAACCTGCGTGAAGCTCAACACAACAGCCTCAAGATTCAGAACATGTATTCGGACCAGGACCTATTTGACTATTCACACGCCCGGAGTGGCGTCCGCCCTGGTCTTAAGGACCCAGCGCACGGTCGCCCTGGCCAGGGCTGCGGTGGGGCTGAGGCACCGCTTCAGGATGGGGTCCGACGGCGGGAACACGGAGCTGGCCTCGCTGAAGGCCAGGATCACCACGTTCACCGCGTTCACCAGCAGCATCTGGCACACAGGAAAGCCAGAGCTGAGGAATGATGACAATGCACCACACTCTGCTTGACAGCATGACTTACGCGAATGAACGGTGCTGCTGAACAAGCATCGCTTTGAAAGTAATTTTGGGTAGTAGTAGTGGTGGGTGCCCCTCCACGGGAGTTCGGAGTTGTCTTCATAAACTGATGACAAAGCCGCTTTTGGAGCTGGCGCTATTGAATCGTCCCACAACGATATCATGGCAACCGTTGGAGTCGCGGCCAAAGCGCAAGAATTTCCAATCTCTCAATTGCAAAATGTGAAAACACGCCAAAAGCCCTTTCTGAAGTCGTCCCAAACCAAAAGACAACGAGATTCACGTCGAGCTCGCTTGAGCCCCACCAGAATCCTAAGAAAGTGTGGGTCCTTGCTTAACAGGTTCGGCAAGACGTTCCCCCTTAGAATCGCCATACGCACGAAGAAGCCGTCCCAATGTTCGTCTCTTAAAAGGCTTTGTTTCGCCGCTCCTCCAAAAGCATCGTCTTTTGGTCATTCTCCTCTTTGTGACAAACAACAAACGATCCCACGAAAAGCAATCCGCCCCCCAAACACAGCCTTCAGCAGACGGCCCATACTCTGACGAGCCCCGGCGAGCAGAGATGCTGTTGCGGGCGCACGTACCTGGACGCCGATTCCGAGCAGGTTCTTGGCGCCCTCGTTGTCGCCCCGCTCGAGAGCCTCCATCCCGGGGAGCACCGCGTGGGCCATGGTGTCGCGGTCAGGCAGCACCACCGTGTACCCCTGCGCAGCAGAAAGACACAGCTGCTCGAGAGAAGGGGCAAGCACCTGGTTCATGATTTCCTTTTCCGGGTCTCACGTGCGGCGCAGTGCTAGAAGGGCCGTGTCGGACAGCAAGGGTGCAACCACGATGACGAAAGACAATTCAGCCACTTCAGCTTCGAAGGATGTTGGCAAGACGCCATTCCTTTAGGTCAATTGAGGTCCCACGAGCCTGGAAACGGGCGGGGTAAGTTGGCTGGGTGCGGGGCTGCCCTGTTGGTCATACAAGCTTCTGCATTAATATGTGAAACAGCGTCGGAGGGCTTAAGATCGGACGTCGACAAAACTCGGCCATTCCCCGATACGTCATTGCCACGTAATCGAGGCTTGAGCGGCAACGCCCTTTGATGGAAAGTGGTTGAGAGGAGAAAAGAGGTATACCGGGGTTGTTGTGTGATTAAGTAGAGCGAATCTCGCAATCAGAAGTTATTGCGATACGGCAAGAGGAACGGCCCTGCTGGATATCAGCAACCCTCATGCTCCCTCATCTTGAGACCTTTGAGTACGAAAACTCCCGCGCTCCAGGCTGGGAGACTTTCCACCAACGGGTGGCATTGCGTCAGAACTTGTTGCACCAGCACCGCCGTGCTACACACGTTTGCTGATTGTGAAGCTGAGCACCCACGCGCGGTTGCTCACCCTGGCCTCCAGTTTCTGCTGGTAGATGCTGGCTTTCAGCGTGGCCTCGCTGGCCAGCAGCCCCACCTTGGGCCGACTCCCCGCCTCCAGCGGCTCCAGCTTCGCCTGCGCGTCCAGGAACGAAATCAGACTCGGGAAGCCAGACGAGGTCGGTGTCTCACAAGCAATCTGAAGCACCTTGGTGTGTACATGAGGCTCTCGGAGTTTTGTTAGCATGAGGGAAGAGATTGCAGAAGAGTACGAATGAGCCTTAACTGACAAACCCGAGAATCTGACAATCTCACGTCCCCGAAGAAAGACCGATTGAGTCGTTGCTCTCCAGGAATCTGACACTGCAAGGACCTGATTGCTTCCAAACAAGCCTCAGATCTGGCAGAGTGCATGTTACGTTGCGCTCTCACCAGGTCCAACTCCTCAACCACCGCATCCGCAATGTGCAGGAATGGCACGCTGCAGTCCAGCGCCAGCTGGTCGTCTGGACCAGGAGAGGGACGGTATACATTAGAACCAGGCGACCAGTGATTCTTTGGCAGTACAGCCAAGAGCAACAAAGGACTCGCTCCCAACAAGGCAATCAGGCTGTAGACTTCAATGCTACAACTGAACTTCTTTCTCAGACGTCCATATCCATCCCTGTTTGCCACTAACGTCTAATTTACGGTATAGCTCTGACCTGATAAAGCAAGGGGAAAGCACCAATGATACATGTAACCGCTTAGTCTCTGTCCCATATCCGGTGCCCAACGGCAGGCGATAATGAGGCGATGAGTACTTACACCAGAAGTGCGCCATGTTGGAGGGCATGACGATGCAGCGAGCACCAGACTGCTCCAGAAACCTGCGAGTCTCGAGCATGGCTGGCAGGGGGGACACGACCGCCTGATCTAGCGCTGGCCCGGCAGGCCGGTTCAGAATGGGCGCAGACAGGGACGGGATCTGGGGGATGCTCGACACAACGAGCGGAATGTGGTCCTTGTTGGAGTTGGCGGGGGTCGCCTGGATGACCTGCCGCATGAAGTCTGCCGTCGCGCGGGGGCTGATGCCCCCTAGAACACCAACGACATCGTGGCGGTTGGACACCTTGACAACGGGGGGGGCGTGTGATGGTTCCGGGAGAGCGCGGCTTCGGAAACGCGATTGTGGGAGGGAAGGGTCATTTGACTCCGCGGCCGCAGCTGCAGCGCTGAAGCCCCGTGATTGGGCAGCCGTGCCATTGACACCGGGGAGCGGCTTTCTATGGGAGATGGCATTCAATCTGTCGCCCAGTGTCACCTGCAAGAGGAGAGAAACTATTGTCGGCAATCTGTCCAGGTAGCTGTGCTTCATCCCTGACTCTAACAGTTATCTCCACTTTCTGAACATCACGTTGTCAAGAAGGTTCTTGTGCGCGCGCAAAATATCTTGAAGAGAACCTGGCCAGGAAGAGTGATATGGGCGTTGGAGACCAGAACAAAGGTCATCGCTAATTCCTGCTAACACCCTGTCTCGAAGTATCCCTGCTGGCTATCCGCGCAGATCTTGCAACTACGACCACCACCTGTAGATCGCACCAGCTACCAGCCTTGCATTGAGTGTGCAGTTTCTGAAGGCCCCACCTCATCCTCTGGCCCGCTGCGAGCCCCACTACTCTCGCTTGCATTCGCCCGTGTCCTTTTCCTGCCTTGTTCCCTGGATCTTGCACCAGATGCCAAGCCAGGGGCCCGCTGCTCAACACCTTCGGACACTAGCTGCCTTTCCCCTACAGAGTACACTCTACAAGTTCCTATGCAGCGGTACAGAAGCTTCCTAACCCTTGCCTTGTGCTCCCACTGCGGCGTATTGCGAACTTTCCCGAGTGCCAGAAACAGATTATCAGAGCCCTGCCAGCCCACGCCTGCCGTCAGAAGGTCAATGGGGAAAGGGGCGACCGCAGACTTGTGCGGTACTCGCTGCAAAGCAGACATAGCTGGATCCGCAGCCTGCTGCGATTGCAAACATCAGCTGCTTCTCATTTGTGATCCATGGCGGCCTCTGCTGCCCGCCTACCGCACTCTAGAGCTCGATCAAGAAGTTGAGAGAGTTCTGAGTGCCGCACGGAATCCACAGCCTCAGGGCCGGCAAGCAGCTAGCGGAATCTCGGAAGGGCACCGGCGGATTCCGCTTGAGCTTAGCCTTGTATGTAGTGGGTTCCGGTGGGTTCCGGTCTGCAGAAGGTTCCGGTCAGGGCGGCTACGTTTGCAATGGCAGAGCAGCTTCAGAGACGAGTTTCCAGGAGAACATTTGGCAGGCGCTCAGCAAAACTGCCAAAAGCGCCCGAAGGTTAGCAAAGGAACACACGCGGATGAACATACACACGACAGGGCTACTTTGGAGGGACGGGGTGGATTCTTGCTAGACCACTTTTGCGGAATTGATTTGTTCAATGCAGAAGATCTGAAGGCAGCACTGCATTCTCCGCTTATTCAATTGGTGGCTGCACCACCCACCGGTCCCACATAGCTCTTGAAAAGCCGGGTACTCAGCAGATTAAAACGGAAGAGGAGAACGCAATTCTGCTTTCCTTCCGGACCTGGGGGCCGGATGTCGGGTGGCTATAAGTACAGCCTGCATCAGGCAGCATACATAAAACTGATCCTGCACGCTATCAAGCATCCAGCTGCTGCTGTCAATGGGCTGCTGATTGGAAAGGTGTCCAGCGCGTCTCCTCAGAATGACGACGCTGGAGCACAGGCAATTGTCGCTGCGGGAGGGGCGGTCGACATCCACGATGCGGTGCCGCTCTTTCACAGTCATCTAGAGCTGGCGCCCATGCTGGAAGTTGCTTTGGCTCAGGTAATTTGCCCGAAGCTTTTGCAGTCCCTGTCATCGTCTGCATCTCAACAACAATCGTCATTGCGGTTGGACTGGTACCTAGCCAGCCACCCTTGTGCTGCCTGAAGAACATTTTACGGACCGCCCCTCTGTTTCAGCAAGAGATTAGATACAAGAGTTATTTTGTTGCCAAGTGGTTCTAATAGTTCATGTTCCTTAACTTTCCTTCTTGCTGTTGATCCACCTTTCTTTGCTCTCAAGCACCGGCGTTTCAGTGATGGGTTCTCAAATGCTGAGGCTTGATTGAGGCTGACAATCTCATTGTCTCTCCATCCCTTTTCTTGCCGGAAACAAATGCTAAGTCTGAACTTGCCTGTCCAGGAGAACGTGTTGTAGAAGTAGGTGAATTGGACCCCTTATTCTTAATGAAATGGGTCCGAAGGTCTGTCAGCACATATCTGCGATCGTTCCTGACAGCCTAACAAACATCTCAGCAAGCACTGATGAGTGATTCTGATTTGATGCAGGTTGATGAATATTACTCGTCTCAGGCCGGCGGCCTCTCGATCGTAGGGTACTACCATGCAAATGAACGGTACAACGATGCAGATCTGGGCTCCGCTGCCAAGAAGATTGCTGACAAGATTGCTCAATATGTCCCGCAGGCAGCGGTGATTCTGGTGAGACTTCTGCCTGAGTGTCAGCTCAAGTTGCCAAGTAAATAACACGCGCCCATCAGTAACCTGGCGGCCCCTATCAAACTAGTCATGCAAAGTCTCCTTGAATTGGGATGACAGATTCTGTCGCAGCTTGATTTGCGAGACCTGCCTGATTCATGCTCCAAGGCATGCCAGCAAGATGCAAGCCTGACTGCAGGTGTTACGGATCACAAGCACTTCACCCAAGTCTTCGTCTTCTGTCTGTCCTTGACTTCATGGACCTAGCAACTTGTTGATTTTCGGCCTGGTGTGTCTTCCCGGGTAGTAAACACTCTATTGAGCAACCTTCTTGTATGCAGATTGACAACACGAAGCTACAGAACCTGCGGAAGGAATCAACAGCTACTCTGCAGGTGAGACTAGATTTTTTCCCGGATCGTTGCATTCAATGTAACCTCTGCATTATCGAAACATACCAGCGAGTTTAGCAACATGCCCAGATGCTTCCTCATGTCGGCCACGAAGTCTGACCCAACCACGGTCAGTCGTATGTATCAAACGACCATGTCCTCGGTTCGTGGTTTGTGGCACCCAGTTGTCCTTGCCTCCCTCATGCAGCTTTTTACCACCACCGCTCGATCAAGTTGGCAGCGGAACACTCGCCTGAGCTTGCGGGATGCTTCGGCGGGAAGTGTACTGGTCGACCACGTGGCGGGAAAGAAGTACCGGAGTCTCACAGACTTCGACGACCACCTTGACGATGTTTCCAAGTAAGCTGCGCTGTCACCCGTCACCTTCTATTTTGGAGTTTTGAAAGTTTTGAAAGCGGTGTTCGGTTGAAGTGCTTTGTTGTTTGAGGACGGCCAAATTTGAAGTCATCAACTCTATAAGTGAGAACTCTTTCCGTCTCTCAACTTTGAAGGATCTGAAATAACTTCTTAAAGGAGTCTTGAAACGTTTTTCGACCCTCCGAGGTACTTAGCGTACCATCGTTTTTGAAGACTTGGAGTCGCGCTGCTTTACTTGACTTTGACTTTGACTTCGACTTCGACTTCGAGATTGCTGGGTATTTTCTTTCTGGACCTTCCGGCACAGAAAAGAGACTACTGAAGTGACCATTTCAGAAATACACATCTAGAGCGATGCTCATTCTGCACAGTAGCCTGACAGTTTTTGCGTCGCTGTCTTGTGCAGAGACTGGAGGAATCTCGACTTCTTCAGATAGACGGAGCGAATGCTTCTCGGTATTTTCACTCAGTAAATGTGTCTTCAATTGAGGAATACCTCTACCACGGACTTTTCCAAGTAATGAACTGCGCAGTCATCTTCAATCTGTCCTGGTCAATGAGCGACTTTCTGGAGGGTATTGTGCTAGGCTCTCAACATGCGCACGCTGCCTGCATGGAGGATACAGTAACACGAAGCTACCGGTGTTGTTAAATGATCATGCAGTGGTTGAAGATATTTTGGCGGCCATGCAGGGAACGTTCATCGGATTGTATACGACTTGATCAATGAGCCAGGTCGGACTCTGAGCAGCGGCAAAACCTAATTGTGCATCAAAAGACTATATGCGCAACTAGCTTGATTTGACCATATCATGTCAAGTTGTTCATATATGCGCGCCCCGCCGGCTGCACGATCGAAGCTTCCAATGCATGATATGTGAGGTGGGGATAAATGACCATGTGACCCGTAATCGTTATTCATACGAGGCCAAATCTGTACGACGGTGGTTCAATGCAGACGCACTGAACGAGTGTAGTGGGTGCAAGAACAGCATCTCAAGCAGCTGGCAACTTGCGTTTCGACCCTGGCCTGCTATCACCTGCAAAGAGAAACGAACGGTCGATGCTTCAGTAGAAGATCTATGAGGGCGGCTAAATGATTCCAGTCCTACAGAATAATGTGAAAAAAAAATTCCGTCCTCTTTCTTGATCCAACAAGCCCAATGTGTGATCACGATAGTTGCGCCGAAACTCCGTCGAATCAGGAGACGTGTTCTCCTCAGCAACTAGGACGTCATGATGGAACACATAGAGAGCATTGTTTAGTACGAGAGGTTAAAGAAGCTTGCAAAACTAGTCGCTTCTGACATTCCAAGCATGTCTCGAAATTGCTTTGGCGATGGGAGTCCCGATCCAATACTCACTTGCAGTGATCTTCTGTAGCATCTGCATATGCGTGGCCCCATCCACCGGTGAATGAATCTGTAGCGATGGTGCAAAGGAGGTTTTCGAGTTGAACCTCGAAAATGAACTTCCTTCGACAAAGAAATCGAGATGCCTATGGCCTATATCATAGTATATGCTTCCCAAGCAAGCAACTGAATTTGCAAACATTTGAGACCTTCTCAGGTTTTCAATCAGGTGAGAAGGTGACGACAAAAAAGAAGTCATGCACTGGAAGTTACTGCTTTGCTCCTACATCATATCGAAGTTACTGCTTTGCTCCTTCAGCTCGGCATTTAGATCCCTTCTCCAATAGCTCGTAGAGCCTCCCACAAGACAAGGGTGAAACTGTCTGAAGCGGCTGCACCAGGCAGCCTGGTATACTTTGGCCGTCCTGCTCACCAGATCTGCCAACTGCAACCACCCGAAACAGCGCCTGACACCATCGGCGGAGCTTGGTGTGGTGTCATGCTTCCAGTAGCTGAGAGCGCTGAAGGTTGCCTCCGCCGTCCATTCCTGGATGGCCTCACCCTCCTTCTCATGTGATGCGTCCAGTGGACGCTTGGCCAGAACCAGTCCTACATAGATTGCAGACAAAGATTTTCAAGCCCTCCTTTTCAAGAACAATGACCTGAATCTCTAACAGGCTGTGATCCCTGATGTCCCGCACTGCTTTACACCACCGCATGCGAGTGCGGTCGACATCCTCATTGCCCATTCTCAACTCTCAATGAAGACTGTAAATCTTTTGCAACCCCGAATCCAGTACTATGGGGCAGCGGAGTCAAGGCCTGGCGCTGAATCTACGGGCTGGTGGGCTTCTAGGCACAGGAGCCTGGTTCCTGCACTGGTTTAGAAAAGAACTCACCTTGATAACCTGCCGGAATGTCTACAGTAGCCCCAAGCAACTTCCGTCCTCGAAAGGCTGCTTCCACAATCGTCACCCCATCAAAGGTGGACCCTGATGACAGCACAACGTTCATTCTTGAGATGAGAAGTCACCATGGTTTACAGACGTTAGCTTGCTCTTCCGCAAACTTTGTCTGGACATATTACTCTCATAAACTTGCAACAAGACTGGTTCACTTAGTGATGGAGGTTGACAACAGCAAAGGAGGTACTACTTACTACCTCTTGGGCTGCTGGTCTTCCCAAGCACTTTTAGAACGTGGCATGAATACACCAGACATGACTGCGTCAGGACCAGTAAAGGCACTCCAGATGATGGAGTGATCAAATCGAAGCCAGTAAGCAGGTCTGCCACTTATATTCATTATGTGGCTTATGATTAGCTTAATGCTGCCCAGCCATGGTTATTTGCTTCCCTTTCCAGCTGTTGTAGTGAGCCCTGAAAGGGATGGTTTCAAGCAACAGCTCACCTGTACTTTTTGGTTGGAAGAAGCTGTGTACATTGGCGGGCCCATTGTATCCAATGGAACATGGAAGGTGATGGAGAGTTTCCTTCTCCAGCGCCGCAGGGACAGACAAGCGCTCAACCACTGCGGAAGTGGCAGGCATTCTCAGCCCCCGCTGAGCAAAAGGTTGATGTGCCTTCAGTTCACCAGGACAAGCAGAGGTTTGCTGGACACTGACCTATGTAGACTGATGTGGGTTATCTTGCCACACTTGGCCGACCACCTGCTTTGAACATTGTACGATGACTAGCAATTTTGAAGCTTCAATCCTGATTCTACGACAGTGCGCCCCAGCTTCGCAGATTAAGGAGCCTCAAATGCTCATGGCCCACTTGCCTTCTTCTTACAACTTTCTAGTTGGGCTCATGAGTTGGCTGCCAGCAAACCATGCGGCAATCTCTTAGCTGCACAGACATCACCCCTTTCTCTGCAAGTCCACTAGACCGCTGCCCGCACTTTGCAGCCACTCCCTTCAGAACAGGGTCCTCCCAGGAGAAATGACAGGCTGCTGCAATGTTTGCATTGACAGTATCCTCAATGAAACCACTGCAATCCGCCTAGAATGAATGATCTAGGGCCTTCAAGGACCAGAAATCAAAAGTTGCTAACGTCAGAAGCGCCCCTGAAGCGCCTCTTCTGTCCTTGCAAGCAGAAGGCGTCCTGAACATGCTAAAGTCTGTATATTGGTGCAAAGCAGAGCAGAACTACGGTACTCCAACTTCCAAGACGCTTTCACTCAGAATCCCACAAAGATCACTGATCAGCAGGCCCTCTGCAGATTCAAACGATTTTGGCGCGAGTGGTTTAGAAGCAGGGTTAACATGTAGTCCCGCCATAACCCAAGCTATAACCGGGGTTGCGAGTCCTTGCATGGCAGCTCAGAGTCAGACTCGGACTCGGCAAACTACCGTAACCCAGGCTCTGCAATAGGCTTTTGGCATTTTGCGCACAGAGCTTTTCGTGGACATCAGCTTGAACTTGAAGCGCGGCTTTGTTCCTGTAGTTCCTCTAAGCTATTCAAGGTCAACGCTCTCCTTCCTTTCTGTTGGCATACTAAACATACAGAGCGCATCATCAGCAATCATGCAGATCTTTGTGAAGACCTTGACTGGCAAGACCATCACTCTGGAGGTGGAGAGCAGCGACACAATTGACAACGTTAAAGCTAAAATTCAGGTTCGTTTTCTGCTGCCCGTACGAGTTTTATCGCTTTCTGTCGGGCCAACATTTGTCCTACTTTGGGGCAGGTTTCATGCTTTTTTTGGGCCGATGAGTATGTTCAGGCTGAGGAAGTGAGGGTTTATAACAGCTCGCCAATGGAAGCCAACTTCTCCTGAAAGTTTCCTGGGTGGAAATTGCTGCAGTTAGGTCAACCAGATTCATTTGATGGAACTTTTGGCGGTATGTGCCATTTGATGCGTACCACCATCGCTCCAGTCACAGCTGCTTCATGTTTCAGACAGAGCCGTGCATCGGTCTTTGGAACTGCCTTTTGTGAGGTTATTTTGTTCTGAAAAACCAAGGATTAGAGTGATGCGAGCGTGCAGAATTATTGGCAGAGCATGTGTCTTGATCAAAGATGGTGCCGAGACCGCGGTCTCATCTGCTGGCTTGTGCACGTGACAGGCATTCTTCAAATTCGCTGCCCTGGTTGCATTGAATACTATTATATGGAAAGAATTAACTGCTTCTTGGAAGCTGACTTGCAGGGGTGCGAGTGAAATATGAGAGGGTCCCCTCAGACTGTGTCTTGACCCACGCAAGAACCCTCAGTGCTGCTATTAATCCCCCTTCTTGACGCAATATGCATTCAATTATTGTCGCTTGAAAGGCAGTCAGCTGAGAAGATTGGAATATATCTTGACTGTTGTTGATCACTCACTCACAAGTTGTGTGCAGGACAAAGAGGGCATTCCCCCTGACCAGCAGCGGCTCATCTTTGCTGGGAAACAACTCGAGGATGGCCGTACACTCGCTGACTACAACATCCAGAAGGAGTCCACACTGCACCTGGTTCTGCGGCTACGGGGGGGGACTATGATCAAGGTGAAGACGCTGACGGGTAAGGAAATCGAGATCGACATCGAGCCAACCGACACGATAGAGAGGATCAAGGAGAGAGTTGAGGAGAAGGAGGGCATTCCACCGGTTCAGCAAAGGTAAGCTGACTCAGTTCTCAATTGCCAGAGTGATCGCGTCCTGATCGCGGACGCCCTTTTGTAATCTAAGCATCTCAGCAAGCAAACCCATGGCTATTACAATATGGCCTACAGAGCGAGTTTGACACAGATCTGTTTTCGGCTTGGAAGTTTGCTGATCATCATGCTCACCGAATGCTTAGAAGCCTATCGTGTCCAATACTGCAGGACCAATCAAGGTGTTGCTTCGACTTACAGGAATGCACGTCCGCCAATGTTGAACATTCTCCTTATCATTGCAGGTTGATTTTTGCCGGCAAGCAGATGAATGACGAAAAAACTGCAAAGGATTACAGTGTAGAGGGAGGGTCTGTTCTTCATTTGGTGCTCGCTCTGCGTGGAGGACAATGATCCTCTGGGCAACGACGGATCTGTTTCTATCTGCCATCTTATTACGCCCGGCGGACCATTAAACATACGTTGTACACGCTTCTCGACCTTAGATAGCTGATATTGTGCTCTGAATGGGCGCCGCTCTGGCTGATGCCCGATCTAGGTGAAGTCCAAACCAGACCACAGCCGTCATGGCAGTCAGGCATGTCGTTGTGCTGTTTAACCACATCCGCTTGGACTGCGAGCGCGGCGCTGACAAAAGGCAAAGTGAGCCAGCCGCTGAGCTTGTATGATCTGCCGGTGTCCCAATGGCAAAGTACATGCGATGGATATAAATGCTGAGGTTTCGGATGTCATTGCGAATGAAAGCCGGCGTTCCACAAGTGCTGTCATGCAACAGCCCGGCGAGGTCACTCGATGCATCTGTTGAAAATATCGTCTATAGTTCAGTGCCAGAAGAACTAGCTCACATGCATGCGCATCAGTGCAGCCCGTCTAGTGACCTCAATATTCGTATCTCCGTGGCATCATCATGATTTCTCAGTAGTGCTGGCAATGAAGACCGCAGTTTAGCTCGAGCTAGGTCTGACTTTGTCGCAGCGCAACTGTCTTCAATGAACTAGCTCTTCACAATGTTTGCCCGGCCTGCACCGTCCGTCCATACACTATGCAATAGCCGGTGTGCAACAATTGATGCGCATGATGATCATATGACGACGTGAATAGTCGCTACTAAGCCTACTAGCACCGTCTAGATATATGATAACGTTCCACGAATTGTCCAATTGCAGAATCATACGCTACCAAGTTCATGCATGCGTACTGGACCGGGAGCCCATATAGCAAAGTGTACTAGGTACGGTACGCTTGTCAAGCTCTATAGAATCATTGACGTGCGGGAGAGCCGTTTTCCGCATTTCCGTTTTTCGACAACTAGATGATGAGATACTACCTTGCGGCCTTAGCTGCCAGAAGCTCGCTCAGAGCTTACCATACTTGAGATAAAGGTGCATGCATCCCGAAGTTCAAAATTGGATGTGGCTAGGGGTCCGAGTCCTTGCTGGGTACGTCAGTTACGTTGAACTAGCTTTGGGGGCGCCCCGACAGCGCAGCTGACTTGTGCTGGCCAACTTAGCATTTTCGTTCTTTCCTCCGGCCGTATGCATGCCGCCACACTGTAACAGCTCCTAGACTACGGCCCGACTACGGTCACGGTCTCTCCAGTCCCAGTGTAGAACGTCACAAATTCACCAGTGAACATTCCGTCCCCAGATTCTTTGGCTGCAAACTAATCAGAAACAGCAAATTGGATCCCAAATGCAGGCAACAACCCAAAGAAAGGAAGCGGGCTGAGTCCTCAAGCTGAGCTCGTATATGCGAACACTGCAGGGACATGGCAAACGTGCTACATACGTCACTACGTATTTGAGCAGAGCTCAGTGGGCCTTGACTCTAAGAGGTCGGACTCTAAGGGGACCGATCTAAGCCTGCTCCTCTGCTCAGTGGGCTTCAAAACGGTGATCTACTGTTTTAATTTATGCCTTCGACCGTACTGTGTTTACTTTAGTTTATTCTGTTTGCTCGCATGCTTCAATCCGTCGTCTTAGAATATCGGATGCCTGGCTCTGGCTTGTCAGCGGAGAAATAGGAGGCTGCTTGCAGTTCATCTAGCTGTAGGAGGCCTATCCTGGACCCGGAGGTTGCCAGAGTTGCCCGCGACGTTGCGCGACTTTCTGCGATTCTTCGCGACTTTACGCGACTGCTCCGCGACTTTGTTTCGCGATCTTTGCGACTTTCACCAAAACCTTACTAAGCTTTAGGTTAAACATGTTTTCAAGCAAGTTTTGTGTTTAGATGCTTGCAATGCACCGCGACGTTGCGCGACTTTCCGCGACTTTCCGCGACTTTCGTCCGCGACTTTCACCGCGACTCTGCGACCTCCGAGTCCAGGATAGGCCTTGTAGGCATCTGTAGTAGTGACGGGGTAGTGACACAGGTTACGGTATGACCTTCATTCACGCGGAACGCCGGATCTTGAAAAGGCTGGGAACTTCCGTTCCTTTATCCCGCTGCCGTCCGATCAGCTCACTTTGTCATCGAGCGGCCAGACGCGATCGAGTGGAACTTCAACTTCAACTTTGGACCGTCGGTACCATCGACACTTGGATCGACGGATTGTGAGCTGAACCCGGCTCAGCCAGCTAAGAGTAGCTTAGTAGCTCGCCATGGCTGGCAGCTCTGTACTCTCTGTAGAGAGGGAGAGCATGAGCACTGCAATGTGCAGCTCGTCATGGGGATTCCAACTCCCAACTTTCGTTTGCAGGATCCGTTCTGCTCGTTTGGCAAATGAAAATGCCTTCCTGCGAGAAAGCATTTATAAGCTGCATTGTCTCCTGTCACATACGCAAAAATCAATGAGCTCTCCTTAGGGAGCTCATGTTCAGCTTTCGGACAGCCTAAATTCCGGTCTACAGGGCAAACATTGTGGCATTCTAGTCTGCGAAAGTCTTGATTCCTCTCAGGATGCATTCAAAACCACATTGCACCTTTGTTCTATGCCTGAGAACGAGCTGAGAACATGTTTCCGCGAATGCAGCTTGTCACTTCAAATGTCTTTCACCTTCCTCCCGAAAAGTTTCACCACACTTTACAACCTTCTGCTGAGACGAAGAATGCAGAAACCGGCCATTAAAATCTGCAAGGATGCTTCCCATAGGGCCCTGAGCAGAAATGTAGCCCCATGAAAGCAAAGACAATGCCTTCCGGAAGCTGTCTTGCCTCATGCGGCAGCCATGCTGGTGGAGAGGCTGACAAGTTCTGGGGGCGATTTATCAATCGCGAAAAATGGCAATGCGCAGCTCCCTCGCTTATTTGAGATTCGTCCCACTCTAGATGCGGAAATGAATGCCGTACGACGACGCCCGGTACAAAATGATGTCGCGGTCCCGTCGCGGTGGCCCAAAGATTCTTTCTTCCGCCGGGCACAGCTGGGGCTATAATCGAGCCCGGTAGGGTACCCGGTGCAACCGTACAGGCCATCGTAGAACTTTTGGAATTGGTAGCAACTTTTCAGGCTCCTGATTCGTTTAAAGATACTGAGTTACAACTTTGAGAACTTCACTTCAGACTGTCGTTGAAATTTTAATGTTGACCGGCAATGGATTCTGGAGGCGGAAACGGGAGAGGACGTACAGGGGTAATACAAGGCAATGCCACGCCTGATGCGTTTGCTGGCATTGCCAAAAAGAAGGTCCACCATTGGGACAGTTTTAGGGAGCCTTTCGGACGGGCGAACCATTTCAAGTGTCCAAGCAATCTGTACGGTCCAATATCAATTCATCGACGGTTTCAAGTTTGCCCAGAAAATCATTAGCCACGTGATAGCTGTAGCCAATGCGGGATACAAGAAACCAATTCCGAGATCCGGCGTTCCGCGTGCATTGCTTCATGGCCCGAGTCCTTCTGCAAGTGATCTGGCACCAGCACAAAGCCTGTCAAATTAAGGCAACCCTGGGCCTCGACTTGTCCACATGGTGCACATGGTAAACATGGAACTGAGTTCGACCAATCAAAGGGCGGAACTGCATAGAGGTGGCAAGAAGGTACGTACCATTCTGGGTACCTTCAAGCTAGGTAACGCGACGGTTGTTCACCAATGCTACATTGCTCAATGGTATGCTCATGTGCGCCGGCTCCATGGACACATGATGATGGATGACGAGCTGGTGGGCATTCTCTCTTCTGAGTTTTAGAAGACAGTCAACGAGAATCCACTGCCGACGAGAAGCCAGGCAGAGGATTTTGCAGGACGAGCATAGGGAGGACGTTCAACAGAAAAGGATTTGCAGTTGCGGGGGAAAGGAGAGTCTAGCCCGTCATGTTGCGGCCCTCCTCTGTGAAAACATGGAGTCCCCCGGAAGCGTTTGCTGGATAGCCTCCCTAGAAGACAACCTGTTGGACCTTATCCTCGGCAAGGTCCTGCGCAGCAGCGCCCGGAGCAGCTTTCGCAATCTGCTTCTCGTGTGCAAGGACTGGCGCCGCATCACCGCTCGCTACGCTCTCAATTGGGACTGCACCCAGCAGAACGCGGTCCCTAAGCTCGGGGCCGCTCTACGCAATGCGCCATGTGGGGCCACAATCCTGCAATTGCGGTTCGACGTCGATGGGACTTGGACCAGCAGCACCGCCGGGCGCTTCACACCGGAAGGCTTTGAGGCCCTCAAGGCAGCGCTCCTGCCGGCCAAGGACCATGCACGCGTGCTTCATCTGGTGCAGTTCCCCGTCCCGCTCGTTGTCTTCCTGCCGTTCTTGCACGACGGCCTGCCCTGCCTGGAGAGCTGTTCCATTGACGTGGGCTACGGCAGCAGCGCGCGCAGCCTGGCCCTCACCCCCTGGACGGACATGGTTGAACCGCTTTGGAGTCGCCCGCCGCCCATCCCCCCCGCCCCCAGCCTTCTCCACCTGACCCTCACCGCGTGCGGGCGCGACCTGCGAGATGAGTTCCTGGTGCGCCTGCAGGAAGCCTTCCCCCGGCTAGAAACTCTAGTTCTATCAGGCGTAAGCCAGCTTCGCGCACCTGTCATCTTCTCCAACTCCCTGTTCGAGGTGGACATCTCGGGCGTGCGCTGCACCATCTCTAGTTGCACCGTGCGCGCCGCCAGCCTGGCCTGCCTCCGCCTCTTTCTCAGCAGTTCGACAGGGATGGGTGCCACACACCTAGAGGCGCCGCGCCTCGAACACCTGTGCATCTTCAGCGGTTTCAACGGGGCCATCTCGCAAGCCCCCCGCAGCATCAAGCACCTCACAATTGAGTCCCACGACTGGTGGCGCTGGCGTTACTTTGAGCACCAGCTGTCATTTGTCAAGCAAGACCTCATCTGTCTGCAGCTTCTGTTCACAGGGCATGGGGACGTAGTTGGAGCACCCTCACTACAGGGGTTCCTGCAAGCACTCGCGTCTGCGCCGGCGCTTGAAAGCTTGGAGATCAGTGCGCGGTTGCTGGACTCGCTGCCGAATGCCGGGGGGGAAGGCCGCTTCCTGTGGGGCGGGGCTCAGCTGCCCCTGGTGCGCCACCTGTCGGTCGAGTTATGGCAGCCCAGCAGTCTAGAGAAGGGGGCAGCACTAGCGAGGGCCTGCCCTGCGCTGCGGCAGTTTCAGGTGAGGCCTCTCTGGCCGCTGAGGGGCTGGGAGAAGAGCACGCTGGAGGCAGTCTTCCCGAATGTGGAATATCTGGAGGACGAGTCATAGGGTCGACATTTACTGTACTATACTTGAGGAAGTAGGGCTGGTGAGGCTGCACGTCGTACTTCTGCGGACCGTGCTTACGGCAAACGTTACACCAGTGTTGATGTCTAGCGAGCATCAATGCAAGAGCCTTGTGTTTGGATGATACCGTTAGTTGCAGTTGATAGAATGGACGGGGAATGGACTCAGCAGTGGAATAAGACAAGCTTTTCAGACAGGAAAGGGCACTCGAATTATGTACCTTGCACGGCGCACTTTTGTAAAGAGACGGAGTGTACTATTGACTACTTCCGGGGAGTTTCAGTCTGAATTGTACCAGCTGATACTCAGCATGTGCAATTGCAGATCATGCAGGTAAGATCTGCATGGCCTGAGTAGTTTCTCAACGTTCGTGCTATACTGCCAATTAATCGCATGTCTGTCTGGCAAAGTTTGTGGCGCGGCCAGGCTTTAGTACGCCGTCACTATAGTTAATTACGATCGGACCGTGCCGATATAGCATCGGGACTCATTGAATGATTGTGTGATATTTGCAATATGCATGAATTATGTAGATCAGGCTTAACGCATATTGAATTGCACAAATTTGGCCATGAGTTATTGAACGTGCATATATATGCATGGCCGCCGGCAGGGGCTAGCTCGATATATCTCGAATGCGTGCATAGATTTTTAATTCAAGCGTATACGCACTGATGCCATCTGATGGCCCAGGCAGTGACTGCATCTCATGTTGCAGTATACGTATGTATAATGATACATCATGGCTCGAACACTGATCGGCGCATGCCGGCCTCACACGGATATAACATGGTGCGCGGTGCGGCCACGGTCAGCGTCTCATTGCCATATTGGCTTTCTCTAGCTGTATATTTAGCTGGCGCGGCTGAATATAAGTCAACATTCTTTGGCCTGCGTTATCCCGGCATGAATTATTGTCAGAGCTAGGTACATGCATGATATTGGCCCGCACAAGTTAGTAATACTGATGGGTGACTGGTTTCGAAATCCCTTCACATCAAAAGCGTGATCACAGCGAACACTCGAGCTTGCACTCAAGGTCGTGTGCAGACCTCGGCTGTCGCTTTATTTCAAGCGGACTACAAGAACTCCTGCCAAGGTCGAAGTCATTCGTCTTGACATCCGGTTTTAAACGCTGGCACTTCGTGTATCTTTGGAAGCATCAATGCTGCCACTGTTCTTTACCAAGCAATCCTTCAACTGGCAGGATAGGCTAGCGCACCCTCTGTCTAGTACTCGACAAAAAGCCGGCAAAGGCCTTTGCACCCTTGCTCCCGTCTGCCGGTGCACCAGTCCCCGGGGCAGCCTGCAGCGCTTGCAACTCGCGCGGCACTCTGAACTTTCTGCCGGCCCCATTGGGAACTCCCTGTTTCTCCCCCTGTTCTTCGCGTCCCTTTTCCCCATCCCTGCCCTTGCGCCCATCAGCATGTTCCCCTGATCCTCTCTCGCTAACAGCACCATCCAGCGACAAAGCGCTTGCGTCAGCCCCTTCTTTGCCAAGCCCGCCATCAGCAGCCTCCTGATCTAACCGAACCACCAATTCTTCAACCACTTCAACCTCCCCCGGCGGTTTGCGTACATGTTTGCCTTTCTTCTTCTTCTTTCCCTTACCGCCCACCCTTCTCAAACTCTCCACAACTTTCACTTCCGCCGGCTCTGTCCCGCCCTCTCCGCCCTTCACTGCCTCCTCTACCCCCGGCCCGTCTCCTATGCCCATTTCTGGCGCACTCTCCTCCTGAGGCAACGCGTCCCTCCCCGTCACCGCTTCTCCTTCCTCCCTGTCATGGTTGCCTCCTGCCTCCAACACTTCCCCACCTGTCCCCCCCTCCAGTACCACTTCCTGGCTGCCAACCACCGGCCCAGGTTCGGGACCCTTCTTCTTCTGGAACCCTTTGACGCCCTTAACAATCACTCCGCTCGCCCTCTTCTCAGCAGCCTTATCGAGCCTCTTCTTCGCCTGCTTCTCGCTAAGCACGCCGGTTGGGGACACCGAGGCTGCTGGCGGCTCAGGGATGACATCAGCAGGGGGTGACGCTGCGGGTTGCCTCATCAGGAAGCCCTTTACCCCCTTGACGAGCAATCCGCTCGGCCGCGGTTTTGTCTGCTCTCGCCCCCCCTCTCTGCCTGCAGCAGCATTTGCCCCCTGAAACACAATCTCCGTCTCGACCGTCTCTTTTACGAGGGCAGCTTCCGCCTCCGGTGCAGCTTCTCGCCACCTTTCCTGCGCCCCCCTGCCTTTCTTTCTGCGGTAAACCAGCCCCCCCGGCCTTTCTTCAGCACTTCGGCCCGTTGCTTGTTTTGTCTCCAAGCCCCCGCTCAGCTCCGCAACTCTTTGCCCTCCGTTACCGACCCCTTTGCCGTGTCCAGTCAACCCGTTCTTCGTGCCTTGCACGCTCGAATCACCTTTCGCGGCAGTCCCCTCGCTAACAGCAGCCATCTGAGCCGTCCCGGTCCGCTCGCTTCGACCGTGTTTCCTTGTCTGGCCAATCTGCTCCTCTTGCTGGGGGGATACTTCGTCCCCCGGTCTGCTATCCCCCTTAAAATCAATATCGACCACCGAATCCTTTGCGACGGGCTCTGTGCCTTCGTCGCCGCCACTCCTCGGCGCCCGTTTCCGCTTTCCCCACTGTCGCGCTCTCTTTCGCGACCTCCTCTTTTCCACTTCCTTTCCAGCAGTGCCCTCTTCGGCCCCTTCTTTTGATCCCGCCTCTTCCTGCTCCACAAAAGTCTCCCCGTCAACACCTTCCGCCTCTTTGTTACTCTCCCCTTGGACACCTTTCGCCCCTTCTGTGAAATTCTTTTCCCCCGCTGGAGTCTCGGCGTTCTCCATTCGTCTCCGCTTCTTGGCCCCTTTTCCCTCCGCTTCCTGGTCTCGGCCTGCCGTTTCCCCATCGGCGGTCCCGCGCTGCGCTGCTTCTCGTCCGCTCTTCTGACCTCCCCCGTCCTTTTCGTCACCCCCCGTGTGAGGCTCCAGGTTTTTGCTTAGCACGCGAACTTCCCGCAGCGCCTCCGCCGTTTCCACAGCACTATCGCGCGCCTTTTCTGACGCGGTGCTCCCCCCACCGTCTTGCTGCTCTTCTCCTCCTGCTTTCTTCTGCTTCTTTCTTCGCGAGCCCTTCGCCGGACTGCTTCCCCCCTCTGGCACAACCAGCGCCTCTTTTTCCGCCGCCCCACTCTCGACCTCCGCCTTGTGCTTTTTCTCCGTCACGACCCGCATCTTTTTGCTCGGCTTCTGCTTTTCCTCGCTTTCCTCCTCCCTCCCCGGCAGCCAGAACTCAGCCCCCGGCACAAACACGCGCGCGCGCCGTTTGCTGCGCGGCCCCTTGAGCCCCGTGCTCCTGCTCGACGCCTCGCTTGCTGACGTCACCTTCTCGGCCGCGCCCTCCGGGGGATCCCCCCCCATCTTGGCCAGCCGCGCCGCCAGCATCTTCTCCCTCCGCTGCCGCTTCTTGTCCTTGAACTTCTGCACGTTCGCCAGGAACATCGTCGCCTTGTCCACCGGCGGGCCTTCTCTCTCTCCCTTCGACTCCGTCCCATCTTCCCCGCCCGACCCCTTCGCTTGTTGTCTCCCCAGAATCGACCGGGGCCGCGTATGTTGCAGCGCCTTCCTTTGCAACTGGATCGGCGACACTTTCGCCCCTCCCTCCACCCCCTCCAGATTCAACACCCCTCCTTCTCCCTCCGTTCTGCTTTTCTTTGCCGCCGGTGGCAACCCATCTCCGCCCAGATCCACGCTCTCCCCGTCCGACTCCCGCGTCGCCTCTTCCGGGCGACTCTCCCCCTCCACAGGCAGCTTTCTCGGTCGCCCCCGCTTGCTTTTGACTTTTGGCTTTCCGCTACCCGGCGGGCGGCCCCGTTTCCTCTTGCCGGGCGACTGGGCCTCCGACAGTTGCAGGTGCATTTGAGCAATGGGCACCGAGTCGTCGGAATCTGCCGGCTGGGGGGTTTTCTTGCGCCCAAATTGAACTAGGATGGGGGCGTCCTCCTCAGTGGAGTGGCTGGATGCGGCGGGGCCTGACGCCTCCTCATCCTGAGCCGATGAGGCACCTGCGGAAAGATGCCGAGTCAGTACAAGCCTCCAGACCTCCCTACGGGATAGAGACCGTGGATCGAAAGATTGCGGAATCGAAAAGTTCCTCTTGTGGCGTTTGCAGGGAGAGGGCAGAGAAAGACGACAAACAGAACGGTGAACCGTCAATTACCAACCAACTGACGAACTGGACTAGGATGCCAGATGTAATCCGTGAAATACGCAAGGGGTATGCCAGACTTCTGCGACCATGAGGATTTCCAAGCCATCTCGCGCAAACATTCTAAACTTACATCTCGACAATTCGTCATCACACACGGGCCAGCAAAGCGGCACCCCCGTTCCTGCACATTCATACAACCTCCATGCTCCATCTGAACTCGTCAGGAAAAGTCAACTCAGACTAATCTGCTAGTTACAGAAGTATCAATCCTCACCTTGCCCGCTCCTGCTCGTCTTGCTCCTCTTCCCCTTGCTGATCCCGCGGCTGCGTGCTTCCGCCGCTGCCGCCAGGGCTTCCTCAATCGGCCGCCCCATGATCCGCTCCCCCCCTTCTCCCGCGGCACGGCCCGACAGCTGGCGCGGGTGCAAAGATGGGGGCGACGGCTGTGGGCGCGCCATCCCGGGAAGTGGGGGGATCACCTTTTCGAGCATGGAGGCGCCGGGGAACACTAGCAGGGCCTGCAGCTCCGCACGCCACTTCTGGAGCTGAAAAGAAGCGGCAAGAGGCAACGGGTCAGACGGTTGTCGGCGCTTGTCTGTGTTGCTTTTGTGATTCAAAGCGACTTTCCAAGGTTGTAAGAGACGAAGTGCTGAACCGGACACAGTAAGGAACAGAGCAAGTGGCCCTAGGCATTGTGGTTACGTTGCGTCAGTTTCACTCGTGATGGGCATAAAAACTGCTTCGCCAAATGATCGAATCTGCTTTGATGGCGAGAGTACGAGAGAACGATGAGTCTGGAGTTGCCATCATGGAGTTGTGCCGAAAGACAACTCCGCGGATGCGGGTTAAGATAGCCATGCAAAAAAGGCATCTGAGCAATGCAGCAATATCTACGGGACAAGTTCTTAGATGCTTGAGGGGCCAATGTACCCGCGCCTACAAACAACAATGCTAAACGCAGGGGCAGGGAGTACTCCACGTGGCAGACCCAAGAAAGGTCACTTACGTCTGTATGGGACATCTTGTTGAACCCAAACCCGGTCTGCCACGTGTCTTCCGCCCCCTCTGCGGCTGGCAGCGACAGGCGAGCAACCCCCAGCGTCGTCAGCAGCCATTCAGTAGCCGTCATCAGCGCCCGACAGTGACCCTACAGGCGGAGAAAGCCGACGTTGGATTTTCTCACTATGTTCAAGAGCCCTGAAATTCATAGAGCAAAGCAAAGATACCGTCATTGCCGGGTACCAAAAGTACTCTTGCTGTCCTGACAATCTGGACAAACCTGAGGGACAACAATTAGCATGCTCTGCAACGTCAGCAGCCTATCTTTGGCAGAAAGGGAACCGCTACAGCTCAAGATGGAGTCGGTTTCCAAAAGGGCAACCCGGGGTCCGCAACAATCGTGAGCGTAAACCTACTACACACACATTTTAATCAGGCAGTCCGTCCTGCATGCTACTCCCCGCCTTCTTCCATAACAAAGTCTACATCGACCCTTACCAAAATCAACCAAAACCAAACGGATCTCCAGAACACGATTGTCCAGCCCTTCTAAAGCCAAACAGTTTTCCAGCCTTTACGCCAAACTTTCTCATTCATGCCCGTTCCCCCGCCGCGACCCCTCACCTGGCGGCGAGCGTCGAGGCTGGTAGCAACGAGGGGCATCTCCGCGAGCTTGTTCCCAAACACGCGAATGACGGCGCAGGAGGCGACTTTCCCCGCGGCGCGCAGCGCGAGGCAGTACATGCCGCTGAAGTCGTGGTCCTTGGTCTGCCGGCTGTGCACCATCATGGGCAGCAGGTCCTCGCCACTCGCGCAGTCGATGATCGGGTCGAAGCACCGCTGCACGGAGATAACGGGTACGAAGTCAGCTCGTCACTGATAGCTCAAATGGTGCATTGATTTTCGCAGGGACAAGTACTGACCAAAGGCGCAACATAAAGTCCTTACCGCTCGATGATCGGGTCGAAACACCTCTGTACAGGACCAGGGGTGAGAAGTTCAGCTTAAAAATCACTTCAGGGGCAATCTGTGATATCCCCTCCGTTCTTCATGCGATGAATCTGATGGGAGATGTAATAGCAGGTCCTCGCCGATCGCGCCGTCAATGATTGGGTTGAGGCACTTCCGCGTGGGGACGACGAGCGAGGATTTGGATGCCTAAAGTACTTAAGCGAAGTTTCAAGAAGAGGACGCCCTTTGCGGCAACGCCTTCGAAATGGCAGATGTGCAAGCAGACGCCCCTCTCTGCAACGCCTTCGAGAAGCAACGCTTGCTATTCCAAGCAGAATCACACAGCATGCCAAAAAGAAACCTTCGCCGGCACGCCTATGACGAATTCCAACTTCCCAAAAGGCTGATAGGCACCAAGATCCGACGATTGAATCCCCTGAAGCCGACCTCCGCCGTTCGTACTTGAAACAGCTCAAACGTAGAACGGGAGCTACTTTACCCCACAAGTCTGCTCCCCTTAACGGCTCAAACGCTCGTCTCTATCCCGTCAAAACCTCTGCATCCCCACCGCTTTTCTGGGGCGACTCGTGACGGACTTCACTGGGGGCATGGACATGGAAGAGCTGAAAGGCGCCCTTTGGATCGACAGATCACTTGTTCCTTCGGTACTCTTCTGACAGCTTTCTGAAACGGACGGCTGGAGCGTGCCCTCACCGAGAGGATGTCCACCGCGGCCGCGAGCACCTTCCCGTTGTCCTTGCTCCCCTGGCGCCCTCTGAGCAGCTGCCACGTCCTCTCGCGGCCGTCATCCACCGGCTTGCCCCCCGCCATGACGTAATTCGGCAGCGCCTGCGGGCCCCGTTCCAGCAGCGCTTGCAGCTGCGCGCTGATGCGCGCGCACTCCCCGCCGCAGAACCAGTCGCCCTCCGGCAGCTCGCTGAGGTCAGCCACGCCGTGCTCGCGCAGGCAGCCCACGTGGAATTCGCGCTCGCACTGCACGGGTGGGAAGGGGCACGGGTGTGAATGACTCTGCTGACGGGATCACCCTCCGCCGCAGGCGAAAGCCAGGAGCCCTATTCTACAATGGAGTGCGCTTTTTATTGTTGACTGAGAATCGAATGCAGTGTGTGGGCAAGTAAGGAGATGAAGTCATCCCTGATGGTTGTTCTGTGAACAAATAAAGAGCACCAAATCCTTTTGAAATGCTTATGGCCCAATGGGGGCGTCTCTTAGAATGATGGTAGTAGCACTCGCGTCAGCAAGATTGCCACCAGTAAATGCGTTTTGTCCGTCCCTCCTCCCAAATCTTCGCCGTTTGAGAAGCCTACAAACATATCGAGGACAAGCCCCTAACGCTAGGGGTGCCCTCGTCAGGACGCAGAAGATGATCACAACCGCAGAAGTGACAGGGATAACCTCTTCACTTTGAGTCACGGACGCTGATCAAACAGCGACCTGAGCAGAACAGAACACACAACCGCACATGGTCGCAGAGGATGATAAAATCTGGACTACCTTCTTGGGTAACTGAACCATTCAAAGATGAACCATTTGAAGAGCAACCTAAGCAGCACAGTCCGAAGCCCCTGTACCTGGTCGCAGAGGATGATGGTCCTGTCCCCGAACGTCTTGCTGAAGTCCTGCATGCGGCACAGGATGCACCCCCCCGTCGTCGTGTCCACCTCCGTCAGCAGCCGCGCGCACCGCGCCACCATGTCGCTCGCGCCGCTCGCGTTGCTGCCCCCCGCGGGGTGTGCCGCCGCCTTGGCCTTGGCGGCCGCAATGCGTGGCTTGTCGCAGCTGCCGCAGAACCAGTCGCCCTTCGGGACGGCGCTCAGCCTGCGGGAAAAAGCCCGGGGAGTCAAAATCCTGGCTTCGTAGGAACGACTTCGAATGAGCTCTTTGTACGTGGCTAAAAGGGTGAGATTCCGAAAAGGAGCACGGGATGTTTGTCAGGAGACGCTGCTCAGCCTGCCAGAAAAAACGCGGCCGTTCAACTATGACCCTGTGAAACATTCCGAGTTACTTTCTTTGGAACGCAAGGGAAGAGGGTAAGACTACGAAAAGGAGAATGGAATGGTTGCGCGAGTATGATGTCGCCCAGACCTTCTGCCTTGTCGAAAGACACAATTGCCCCCCCGAAATTACTCTTACAGTCAAGGTCCGTGGCCGTAGAGGAGCGAGAATCCCAGATCCTGCTCTCTTCCAGAAATCTCGAATGGAAAGGCGGAACTCAGATGGATCTGCTCAAAAGTCTAATCAGAATCACAGCCGTGCAAAAGCACATATCCGACGTTTGAGCCGCGCTCATCTGGCCACTGACCTGACGCACTCGGGGTGGTACCCTTTGGGACACCCGTCGCACAGGATCAGGTTCCCGCCGTCCCCGCACTCGGCGCACTCCTCCGCTTCCGCCTCGCCCCGCGAGGGGCCCCCCTGCGCCTCGACCCGCTGCGCATAATCCTTTAGATGGATGTCGGCAGAGTCGACGAAGATGGACGTGTATGGATTACGGCGGGCGCCCTTCCCGGCGTGCTGCTCGAACGTGGACGGGCTTACGATGGAGCTGCAGCACCCGCACACGATGCCGCCGCGCGCCTTCTTGCCCGCCAGGATCGTCTGCATTCAGAAATACGGAGTCAGTGTGACAGAACAGAGTGAAGACGGTTGGGATGCGCCAAAGCAGGGCACTCCAGCCTGAAAGATGGGAACGCAGGACACCCGTTCTAAGTTGGACTCATATGGCGGAGCCCAATCTAGGGCTCTGCCGAATCTCGCAAGCCCTCTCGCAAGGTGAGGAAACGTCCCTGTTACAGAATAAACACCCGAAACAAAATCATTGATACAAGAAAAGGCGCAAGCCTCCAACGTGCATACGAACTCAAGAAGCATCGCCAATTTGCTCACCTCCCCCCTGATCCGGTACGACACCGCCTCCCCGTCAGGCAGCCCATTGTCAGTGAACAGCAGGCTGAATACGTTGGAGGGGGTCCTTCGCCGGATGGTCGCCGGAGACTGGTGGACCAGCCGCGCAATGGGGGGGCCGCGGTAGATGCCGTGCCCGGCCCCCCCCTGGCAGCGTGGACAGGTCCACTGCGCGGAAGCAGACGGGGGGCGCTCCAGCCCCACGCACTCTGCACGAACAGAGAACGTAGGCGTCAGAGGCTGGGTTAGGAAGGACTTGGTTTCGAGAGTTGCGATGGCAGGCTATGCCCTTTGTGACACAGCGGTCTGTCTTGACGAGTTACTAAGTGCTCCCTCAACGGGCGAGAGGCATCTTTGTTGAGAGAGCAAGGCTCGAAAGAAGCAAGGAGGGACCCGTTAGTCGTTCCTGCTTGAGTGATCAGAAACTGGGGGTTGACTGTAATTGAAGTTAGTCCCTTTTCTCGCAGAGTTGGCCCGGAAGATTCAAAATATTTGTTATCATGTGTGCTTGTGAAGTCTCATGTGCAAGATTATCCACCTCAGATACCTCCAGAAGGTAGGTAAAAATTCTCGCACCTGCATGGTATTCTCTACTACACGACGAACACCGCAGCACGTTGCCCTCCTCCCCGCAGGCGCTGCACGCGCCCTCCGCGACCGCGTCTAGTCCCAGCGCGCCAGCTGGCACCTCCTCCCGGGTCACAATCTCGTTGGACATGACGATGCGCCCTGCCGCCAGCGCCTGAGCGTCTTCCACCAGCTGGCGCAGGTTGCGGCCGTCGTCGAGAAAGATGTAGTCGCTCGGGTGGCGCGCAACGCTGCCCGCGTGCTTCTCAAACTCGGACAGGCTGACCAACTGCGGCAAACGGAAAAGGGAGTGAGCGGCTGCCCTAACGGTGAGACTCGAGAAGCTTGCAGGAAACTCGTCCTCACATATTCGAGGAGATTTTGTCACGGGGAATAAGACCCCATGTTTCTCAAGAGCTGTGCGATCCATACGGCCTCGGGAGTTGCGGCAGAAACGAGGAGGAGCGGAACGCAAAGATATGGGCAGAACAGGCTTATGTAAAGAGGCGATTGGTAACAACTTACCGAGTTGCCCTTGCACTTTTCGCAGTCGCAAATGACTCCCCCGCCCTTAACCCAGCCCGTCAGCAGCAACTGCACCACAAATAGCAGAAGTCAGCACCTCTGTCAAAGCGTTTTGGGCCCAAGGGGACCGGACTGAATCACCCTTGGTCTTGCATGGCAGGCCCAGATGATACCGCTTAACAAACAGCAAGCACCGTCCCATCGTCATGCTTTAAAGTGTACACAAGCAGCGAGGTTTTCGCCGATCCACCCCGCTTGATTCTGATGGACAAGCCAATGGGTACGGATTGCGAAAGGGAGTGTGAGGTTAACCCAATGTGGAACTTAGTCCAGAATCTCGCTTGTGGGCACATGTTGTCACCATCTGAAAGATGCCGTACGGCGTACAGCAGCCTACCAAACGAGAACATGACATACGGTACGATGCGCTAGAGATCCGGGCACAGAAGCACCCTAAAACCACCACGTACCTTCCCGCTCTGCATGATGTACGACACATGCTGCCCCTCCAGCAGCCCCGTCGCCAACAGCAGCCGCGCATTGGTGGGGGGGTCCTTGAACTTGGGAAGCACCACTTTCGGACAGCCCTGCCCCCCCACCGCTACGATCGCCGCTGCCGACGCCGCTTTAGACGGCCGGTATCCGGCATACTGGAGCACCGTCGGCCGCTCCGAAGCGCTCGGAACCGCGGCCCGGGGGGGCTCCTCGCGGGGGGAGGAAAAGAAAGACTGGAGGTCGTCAAGAAGCGGCGGGGGTGGTTTAGAAAGACTGGAGAAGCTGTACGGTTGGAGCGAGGGGCTGGCCGGAGGAGGCTTAGGGGGTTCGACTGGGGGCCGGGCAACGGGTTCTGGTGGGGGGAGCGGGGCCTCTGGGGTCGCGTCGGGGCTGGGGGGACCGCTTAAGGAGCGCCGCGAGGAGGTGCGGGCTGCAGCGGGGTTACACTTGTGCCCCTTTTTTATTTGGCCGCACCGCTTGCACAGGTATGCGTTGCGCTTGCGTGTCGTGCCCAAGTCGAGAGCCTCTTGCTGTTCGGCTGACAGGTGGTCCAACTCGGAGCGGAGGGGCTCATAGAGGACAAGCGCCGACTGGTCTTCTGCAGCCACAGGCACAGCCGCCTGCATGGCGGCATATGCCTCGGGGCCAAAGCCCATAAATGCGTCTTGCCCCGCCAACAATGGTGTGAACCCCGTCTGTTCCATGATCCGTGGGAGAAACACGTCGAGGTCCTCGACGTCAGAACCCTCTGCCCCATCGTCATCCCCTGCCTCCTCCTCACCTCCTCGTGTCTGCCAGAACGCCGTGTCATCCTCTTGACCGGCCAAGCCCCCCAAACCCCCCTCGAGGCTCACCGATCCCTGCGGCGACTCATCGGCTGTGAGGTACTCGTCACCCCGGTCAAACCGCTGAGTAGCCAAGCCTGGGATAATCTCTAGCCCGTTCAGATTCTGGGGCGAAACCTCCACCCCTTGCAACTCTAGGCTCCGCACCGCAGCAGCCACAGCCGCTGCCGCCTCGTCAAGAACTGGAGTCGTCTCCCCTCCCCCCCACCTGTCTCCGGTGAGCTCCCATGGTAGTGCCGGCAGGACTGCACTTTGCAAAAAGTTGGGCCTCTCAACAAGAGCAAGAGGCCCAGGTAGCGCCTCCGGGCTCAAGCTCGGAGGGCCGGGGACCTCGCCGCTTTTCCGCTTGGCAGTGCAACCGCGGCACTTGCAGGCCTCTTTGTGGTATACCTGCAAGGGAGGGAAGGGATGTCAGGCCCCCAATTGACCTGAAGGAATCATAATGAACTCGAGCGTCAACATGGGGCAAATGCAATGAACACAGCAGCCTTCGCGGCAGTGCGAGAGGAGGGTGTGATCGACACATGATCAACGATGTCACACTTGTAGAACGACCGGATTTCACAGTGCGGTGGTGCTTGAGCACCTCCAGAAACGTGTACTGTGCATGACAGCCCGTTTAGCAGTCACAACCAAGCGCTTTGAAACGGATCGGCCATACTAGCGCCAACGTTTCCACCACTTTTTAAGCAGAGCGTGCGGTAGATGTATGTAGGCAGCCAATGACGGAGGATCAGTGAGGCTCACCTTGACCCCGTCCTTTCTCTCATACACGAAACCCCCCTTGCTGTTCCCCTCTAGAGTGGAGCCACTGTGGTTAGATTCTGGCCTGCCTGCCGCAACATTGAAGTTCTGGCCCCCAAATGCCTTTGCCGGCGCAGCAATCGGAAAACCTCGAGCGCCTACGGCTGCAGGCTGGAAGCCTTGGAAAACCAAAGGATGCCCCTCTAGAGAGGCTGATGCCATTGGGGGGGGGAGAGGGGAGCGCCTGGCAGCTGCTACAGGGAGGGGGCTCGGTTCTGGCGCCGACAGCAGCAACCGCTCTTTCCTCTCCTCCAGCTCTTTCATAATCTCAGCAGCGAGAGCAAGCTCCTCGGCGTGAACAGTGCCAGCCTCCTCTAAAGTGGAAAGCAGATCAGGCTCCTGACTGAGGGACGTTTGGAGAGGACCCTGGGAAGGACCCGCTGCACCAGGCTCTAGCGAATGGATGACACCGTTCAAAGGCCTCTGCTGCTTCTCAGCCTGCTCAATGCCCCCTGCTGCCTCGGCCCCTTGTTCCAAAAACCCTAATTCTGAAGGCTCGCTTCTGCTTGCGCCGCCCACTTCTGTGCCCGGCAGTGCCGAGTCCTCCTTGTTCCTGCCCACTGCCAAGTTTGACCCACCGGCGAACCAGCCCTCTTGTTCGCTGGTCTGCCCAAAAAATTGGGTAACCTCATCCCAGGCATCGAAGACCTGAATAAGAACAATTACGCAAGTGAGGATAACAAGATATAAGATGGTGGGTGAGGGCGCCCTGGTGCAGCAATCCAAAAGTTTCATAAGATGCTCTTGATTCTGAGTACGGGGTCTTGATTGATTCTTGAGCTACCTTCCTCAAAAAGCAGTGGCGGCTGACTGATCAAAAAGCTTGGAGAACTGGTTGTGCACTGACCTGGTTTGTTGGGCTTATGAAGCTGAGCTTTGGACTAGTCGGCTTGCTTGAACCATTCTTCCCTGGCTTCAGCCCAATCTGCAAATAAACCAAGACATCCAGTAAACACAACTTGCGATGGAGTCAAACTAAAGGCGTTGATCAGGGCATAATCACATAAAGCCAATGACCCAATCGAGGGCAACCAATTCCCACCATAATTCAAACCCTAAAAAACTCATGAATGTCCCAACTCCCAACTAGCTGAGGCGTGCCATACCTTCCACCCCATGTCTAGAAGGCTTGCCATCAGCACCCTCTCAAGTGGTTCCAACAGCTCCATAGCTGCCCTCTCAGCATCCAATGGATCTTCATTGCCACCACCATCAGGCTGCTGCCTCTCAGCGCTCGCCTCTCCACCCACCACCAACTGCGGCTCCTCACTCATGGTGTCTCTAGACCCTGGTAAACACCAACATGCGGCCTATCGCATCTTTTATCTCACTGGACGGTGCAAAGGACGGACAAGCCAGCTCAGCCACGCCAGATCGCTGACCAATCCCTACTAGGGCCTGATGCCAAGAAACGAACTTTTAGGAAATACCTAGGCTTTCCTTGGAAAGGTACGTTTTGTGGTGGCTTGGCACTGGGCAGCTGGCCTGGGAAGACCAGCTAGGCCCGCCATGGCAGCAATTCTTGCTGCTTGCAAGCTTAGGTTCGAGAGACTTGGTCTTACACAACGTACATTTTCCTTGCTTCCGGAACTTTCTAATGGGGTCACTTTGGACTTTCTAGGCTGCCCAAAATTCTGAAGTCAATACACACCCTTCCTAGCGCTCCAAAATATTTGAACATCGAAGCGCCCCGTCGAATCCAGTCTGTGTCGGCCTCCTTGAAAATTTGAACTCAGCAGGGCGGCAGCTTGGCGCGTGCGGCCCGACCGGGTCGGTCAGCCGCATAAACCTTGTAAAACCTTCGAGTCGTTAATTTCTGCGAGAAACTGCGAGGTCACGCGGCCGGCCTCGCGCGCGCGGCAACGTACCTCGCTATCATTGCACATTCACAATTTTCACAATTTGTCCAATGTAAGGGAAGGGACACTTTGAAGCTGTACCCCCCGAATTAACTGTTAATGGGGGGGTACCGAGGACCGAGAGCCGCTTCTGGGGGGCAGATGGGGGGGGGACCTACTGCCACTGAAGGAAGGCCAATGTCACATGGGGGGGGGACCAAGTTGACTCTGAGATCTGGGGGCCGGTTCAAGGGGTGTTTAGTGTGGTTTATGGATTTTTCCTCCAAATATACATGTGATTGGTCAAAAAACTGCCCTTCACGTTGCACCTAGATCGAAGTCAGCCTCAACACAGCCTAAGAATTCTGCAAATGCACTCCCCTATGATCGATTTTCTAAAATTTGGAAAAAAAAAACTGAGCCTTTGCATGGGGCGGGGACCGGAGACCCTCAAAAGCTGAGCGGGCAAGGGGGGGAGGCTTGGGGCCCGCGCCAGCGCGGCCCGTCAGGAAGGGGGGGGGACTTAGGTCCTCTGGCTGAAAGGGCTCCATAGTTAATACGGGGGGTACAGCTTCAAAGTGTCCCTTCCCTAACTTCACGATTCGGATCAGGTCTTCACGATTCGGATCAGGTCTTCTTCTTTTTGTTGTTGCGCTGTGGCGCTGTGGCAGCTGGCGGCGAACTCTTGAGCTTGAGGGTGTCAAGAAGTTTGACTCGAAGGCTGACATTGTCTGGAAAGGGGCTCCAGACCATTGCTCCCTGGCAAACTTGGTTATTGACATTTAAGGCCAATCGACGCCTGTTCATCAGGATTTCCCAACAAAAACACAGGCTTTTCCAAGCTCAGCAAGTCTTGCTCATCCCAATTCCGCTTGCCAGCATTGGCAATCCCTTGATGCATTGGTTGGCAGCACTGCAAAGATTGGCAAACTTTGATCAGGGACATTGATGGTGTCGCCCATCTCTTGCACCACCCGTTGAGCATGGCTTCCGTACTCCGGTCGGGGCAGATTATCACTCTAGACGAGGTTGTCAATGTTGCGACAGGGTCAACAATCCGTCTGATGGGGAGGTAAGGCTGCCACACTGCCAAAGCTAGCAAAGCTACAGTACCTGCACGGGTGTGCTCCTTCACCTGCGTTGAGCCGAGAGTGCACTGCTTGTGCAGATTGGCGCTACTCTTGTTGTGCTCATATAACTTCTCGCGAATCTTTTAGAATCTTTCTATTGAAAAAAGTAATCACGAGATTGAAAGAAATCACGAGATTGAAAAAAAAGTCCAAGAGATTGCTTCTGGAGCAGTACTTCTTATTACATTGAGGGGACCAGCAACTGCCTGGCATTATTCGGTGTGGCACAGCAATACAGCTCACTTTTGGTTTGTGAATTACATGGATTTTCATTGCAGGCTGCACAATATAGACTTCGCGTCCAATGCGGCTGAACTGGCCAACGGCGGCCAGCAATTGCTCCTTGACCTATCCACAATCTCTCACGAGGTATTGAAGGAAGGGTCCCTATACCAAGTCATCGGAGAACTTCATCGTGCTGACCACCGAACTGAGTCTAATGCACAAGCGGTGAGCATGCAAGCTTTTCCCAGAGTTCCCCTTGCATTGACAAATTGGTACCATCCACATGTGCCTCTTAACCACACACAGGATAGATACTGGACTCAAACCTCAGAAGCTATTGAAGCTGATCCTACTCTACCTTAGCAGGTAATTTGTCCTTCGCAAGCAGTTACAAATTTGTGCTGCCAATCTGATTGCAGGTTTTTCTGGCAGCAAGAGTTGTCAGGAACGTTGATGGATTGGACCAAGCTCTCTATGACCAAGCTTTGAAGCTCCGGAGAACTTTCATGGAATCTATGCCCGTAGGTTGATGTTGTACTATAATAACTTGAGCTTGATTGACTGGAGGCCAGCACCCTCTGGCAACTATATGCTGCTGTACGCTTGTACAAGTTCCCATGTTTTTGAAATGTTGATACTATATGATAAGCTAATACTTGCTACGGGCTGCTCAAAGCTTGTACAGCAAAGAAGCATGAATTTAAAGCCCCTGAATGTTGCCAGAAACGCCAGGTAGACACACGGCAACAACAGACACACAGCAAAAACCATAGTTTGCTCCGGGCAGAGCTGAACAACATTAAACTGCAGCCCGGCCGCGCCAATCAGTCATTGATGATTCTCGAATCCATATCCCGGCTATACATGTATTTGAGTAGTTAGCACGTATATAAAGCTACTGGGCATGTGCGAATGTGGGCCAATGATGCAGCTATACCGTCCACTCTCCGAGAGTAGGCATAAGAAAGGCTTCTTATATTACTATATATTATATGCTTCTTCCAAGGCTCGGAAGCCACTGGCACACATGGCGCCGCGAGCTCGCTGTTGTATCATTATAGATAAACGCGGCCGCGGCTGCGGCCCGTGTACATGTACTAAAGTTACCACAATGACACACATTGCATACTGAGACTGCACTAATTATAATTAGCATGGGATTTCAAGAGGTTGCGGTGCAGACGGTATACGCCATGGTAGAATATACAGACGTGGTATTGTATGGAAGCTTGCAGATCTATCATGCACGCAACTCTCAGTGGCGTTGGATATGTCTTACTAAGACCGTGTACACGCGGCGGGCCCTCTGACGTGCTGGATACTCCAATTGGACCAGATGCGTCTAGCTGCCAACCCGTTTTGTCATCCCTCAAGCCAGGAACATCGAACAATAAAGGGGAGGTCACGGGTTTATTTTCTAGATTGTTAGTTGTTCCTCTGGTAGACTAGTGCGGAGCACTTGTTCCTTTGCTGCGGCCACGTCTTCCGAGGGCATCAGCTTGAAGAACTCGTCCAGCTTGCGAGAAGCGGCCTGCAAGAGATTCAATTTGAAACAGCCCTCGACTTCTTCGCAATCTGACTGTGCACATGCGGTCATTATACTCGGATTGGAGCAGTCAGCGTCGCGCAATTCCTCCCGTCTGAGCCGCCAACAGAAGACAACATCGCAATGGCGAAGCTTAAGAACCAAAACGTGTGCCCGTAATACACCCCGCAAATGATCAACGATCCAAATCCGAGACTACCCTGCTTGAGGAAGTAGACAAAGCCTCAAATTAAAAAGGCAATCATCCAGTGCTGTTCCCCACATGGCAAGCAAGATACAAGAGTTTTCTCACCTTTATAGACTGAAGGCTGAACTTGGAAAACTCGGATCTGCGGTGAGGAAGGCCGATTATTATGGTTAGAAAGACACGATATCGATGATCGTGCCCGCAGAACACCTCCAACAAGCTCAACTTCCAAGTTTCCGAAGTTTGAGAGTCAGCGTTGCCCAAGAATAGTCTCTAATCTTCTTTGCTGCAAAAAGACTTGTTTGGATGTATCTCGCAAGCCTTCTACGTCTGATTTTTTGACACTCGAGGGGGAGGCGTCGCTCACCTCTGAGCAGCGGATGGCTCGCCAAAATTGTCAAAGTACTTTTTGGAGTCGGCCTGCACAGACAGGAAACTCAGTCAGAGGAAGACCTGGAGAACAAGCTTCAAAAGCGAAGCCTGATCGAAAGCCACCACCCTAACACGAGATCGCACTCCCAAATTGGCGCGCAAAGTATCTCCCAGTGCATGGCTCCAAAACAACGCCGGACAGTTTCTCGAGCCGTTCGAGAGAATACTCGAGCCGCTACTCGGTACCTAGTAGCGCAACGACGATAAGCGCAGTTCCTTGACTGAAACCACACGTCTGATGCGGATGGAAGCGGACCGACCCGAGCGGAGGGCTCGTTTTGGATTCTTGCAAGAAGGAACTGCCTTCGAGTGCGCAGCTTCATTCCCTCGATGGCCTCGTGAATGGTCGAATAACAGGTTATGCGCAGATGAGTAAACGCGGGCATTCTGAATGGCTGCCGTCCTCAAAATCGTCGACGGGAGAGTCTTCGTCCTTCAGACACGTTTCAACCACGCGAGAAGTCCGAAACAGTCCATCAAAGATCTGGCGCATCCGACACTCAGTCCAGATAAGAGATATTCGGACCTATTTCGTTCATTTTGACGATCCCGTCGGAAGCCGAGCTTGTACGCATGTAATCCACAAGCCCTTAAATCCAGCATAGTCCTACGTCGTATTGAATGAACAGTCGAAGCTCTGGACGAGAACCGTCGAAGAAAGAGTACGCGAGAATGAGCCGTCATCCAGACCTTTAAGTGAGAGTCCAAGCTACTCATTGGGAAGCTCTGTCGAAATTCCGAGACACTTGGCTTCAAATTTCACATTGGGCAACAAACTAAGGGACTCGTAGTCATACCTGGTCCACGTATTCGAGCACGTCAAACGCCACCTGATTGGCGGCGTCCAGCTCGGCGTCCGTAGGCAACCAGCTGGCCGCACTGCACACACAAACGCTCTATCGTTTCGCTTCTCTACTTTCTGATACCTTTTCCTGTCTCTTTTGACGTCCTTCCGGTTCGTGTCCACGACCTACATCTGCTTTTCTCCTGTCTCTTTGATTGTGCTTCTGGTTTGCATATGCAGGCTTCAATAGACTGTCCTGCAGGTTCTCATGTGGGTCGACATTTTGACCCCCCTGGTATTGACGCCGGTACACGCCTTAACGTCTCAGTGTTGCTCTAGAGACTGAAATCATTGCAAAGGTGTCAGAAAAAGCCCAGAGAGCGACATCGAACGGACCCACGGACAGAAAGAAGCCTATCCGCTCAAAGTGGGAACCAAGGTCAGGACAAAAGCTCGTTGTTTGTCGGGTCCTCCCCAAACTCTTTCCGGCTTTGAGGCTTGAAACCGGAAAAACGAGGGCCTCTCGAGCCGTTAAGCGGAAAGGGGCGCCTTTACCGGCCACAAAATCTGATTTTCATAGAAGCAGATCCTGCACTCGCATCTGCACTCAAGCACCACATGCATTCGTCAATCGCTTTCTCTCGACTCAAAGTCAACAGGGTCACCCCCATTGGATAGGCTATCTGTAGAATTACAAGAGCACACGTCTTCAAGCTGAAATGGAGTCCTAAATCAGAGTTGCAGGTTTTAACCACCCCTGCTGTCGCAAAATTGCAAAACGGCGCTCACTTGAGCAGGTTATCTTTCAGGTTGTTGGGCTCCCCCACGATTGTCTTCAGCTGCTCCCGCAGGTCCGCCAATCGGCCCTCTGCATGACGCAAGCAAGGTGACGTCAGCATGACTTCAGACATGCTCCAAACCGTTGTCTGCTTACGTGGTCACAGACAGCGCCAGGGCCCGTTTCCCGAGTGCTGGAAGAGGGAACCTTGCAATCGTTTGCGGCTGCACCGTTTGCATCGGCAAACCCGTTGAAAGCGTATGAAGCATTGGCACGACAATCCAAACTCTTGTGACGCCTGCAACGGCATCCTTCCGAAGCGACAAGTCGGCCATGAAGAACGTGCATGAATATGCAGATCCGTTGACCGTGCCGGAATGTAGCTGGCTCTTCCTGCGGCCATCAGCACGGCTGTTGGCTGCCTTCTTCAGAGCTCAGACGTGAGATTCTTGTCTTCTGGTGGTCCTTTCAACAAAGCATGCACGCGGAAATCAATGATTCATGCGGGCGGCCTGGCCGCGGGGCGGACCCAAGCGGAACAGGGCCTCACCTTCGATGGCTAGTTGCAGCTGTGGGAGGAGGCCCTGTATCCGGACCAGCGGCACCAAGTAGAAGAAGAGCGGCTTGGAGGGCTGGGGGCGGCCGCCGGGAAAACGAACCTAGCACCAAGGAGGGGAAATTTAGGTCGCTGCTGCCGAGAAAGCAAGAGATGTGCAGAAGACTTACGGGTCAATCACTCTGACGGACAAGCGTCTGCAGGGCACGTCGAGTATAAGTCACGACTCGCAATTCCTGATGGAAAGACACTGGAAAGAAGCCTTTCATCAGCAACAAACGTTTCAAGAATGCAATTTGCCATCAAGATGAGATTGAGCCTGTCAGCTCGCAACCGGCTAAGACAGGAATCAGAAGAAGGCGCCTCACGAAAGCGAGCACGCCCGCCACGACAGCGAGCGCAACCCCAATGATCAGATTTCTTCGGACGACGTTCTCAGCGCCTTCGTCAGTCGCGGGCCCCACAATCGCCTCCATCTCGCCTTCGCCCGCACCTCGGGAGATGAATAGCTCCGCCTCGGAGAGGCCCCACTTGGCCGACTTGGCAGCTGGACCAGAGGAAAGGATGCAAGCCGTTGGTGGTTCAGAGAGGGTTCCTTTGCAGTTTTGTTGAAGTCACTGCCGACCATCAGGCCCAGAGCGACGCGCGTCTGCTACAACCGGTCTTCTGAAACGACTACCCCCAGAGTGCAGGATTGGATGCGTCGAGTTCGTCTTCATACTTTCAGACCCAATCGGAACTCCTGCTTTGCTTAGGACCAGGTGTCTTATCGTTCTGAATTCAGGAGTTCTCTTTTCTCCAGACCCAAACCGTTCCTGCAACCGCAGCGTCAGGTCAACCGTCAAATCATCAGCAGCTGTAAGATAGCCTGTCCTGTCAGTACGAAAAGACAACATGGACCCATAGACCGTGGGTCTTTCCTTCACCTTCTGCTTTCCATCAACAAGGATGGTCAGCCAACTTTAAAGATGCTTTCGCAACCAGACTGATTGGTTTTCCCCCCTGCCCCCGCGAGACGAACAGAGTGTCACCACTCACACTTTGAAAACTTGGCGCGCTCTTTCTGCGCTCCCGGCCCCTCCCACAGAACCTCCCGTAGCCCCGTCCCATCAATCCTCTTGTTTCCCGGACGGGGCTTCCCCAGATCTGCCCCGACAACTGCTTTCCTCGACTCTAGCTCTTTCCGCAGAGCTGCCGCCTCCGCCTCTGCTTTCGCCAACTGGGAGTAAAGAAAGAGTGGTCTCAAGGGATATGGCTCTTGGCAAACGTCTGATTCTTTGGGACAGGTTGCAGCCAACTTGGCACCAGTAAAAAGTGGTGCCCATTGATCTTGGATTCCAGGTAGGGACCCACATTATGGCATGGAATCTGAATGCAAAGGTGGTGTCAAGGTCCTTGATTTGATTGTGACGAGATTAAAAACAAGTCGAAACTTTTACAAAACCGAGGTCCTTAACTCCCCACCTTCCACAATTGACAACGCACGGTGATACATCAAATTCCCACTTTGAAAGAAATCTTCGAAACGCGATGAGATACGTAACACTACTGATTGCGGCGACTGGGTTTTATCCACTTCAGGATGCCCGTGGCCAGGTAAATATACAGGAAAATCCTACGAAATAGCCTCATTCAGGTTGTCGCAAGTTGCATACCTGGGAGAACCATCTACATGATCAGAACTGGCGCGTCACTATTTACACCACCCGCTCGAACACTCTCTAAGTGTTGCTTATGAAGAATTGCGGCCAACTCACCCGCTCCGCCATATCGTTCTCCTCTGGACCGCCAGCTGGCGCTCCATTTTGTGGGCTCTGAAAGAAAAGAACGCACGGCATATTCATTCATACTTCAATTATATGATGACTGAAGAGTTTGATTTAAGCAAAAATCGTGCTTTAGAATAAGAGCAGATCCTACCAGAGCAATGCTACGATGCTGGGGCTACATTGCGCGAGGGTGATCGTGAATCTAGTGGTTCAACATGACTAACAAGTAGTGGGCAGCGGGCTACACTTCTCGTCTGGAGTACGAGGATCAACCCGCTGGATCGAAATATCCTGTTGAAAAGGGCATTGATACATCGGGATAGAAAAAGGGGGAGAAAGAGGGGCCTCAAAGGCAACAGAGGAGCAGAAAAAATGGTTCTACATCCTCCTATACCTTAAGAATGTAATCTACTTGGTTGTTGGTACTAATCAAGCAAAGCTCACCACATCAGACTCCCCAACTTTTGCAGCCACGTCAAATCTCCTCCGGCTCCTAACCGCAGGCCCCCAGTGCCCACCTCTCTTCTTGTGGAAGGATGCCCGCTCGCTTGGCCAAAAGATGGCCACCTCAGCGGCGCCTCTCAAGTTGGCGGGCCGGCATTGGCGTTGGCACGTGCAACATTTGAAACCGCCCGCCACCGGGCTGATGGCAACAGAGGCGAAGCCCATGTCTAGAGAAGGCCCCAGCAAGAGGAGGACGAGGAAAGCTTGAGCGTGAGCCAAACTGGCGTGAGGGGCAAGGGGACGAACTTGAAATTGAACTTGGAAGTCACAGTGTGGCAGATTTGCCAGCTAGGCTATCGGGGGTGCTGCTGAATGCGGTGACGTGGCTTGAACTAGGACTTTGATCCGGTCTGATTGGCTCAAGCTGTAAACTTCTCCCGCCAACTTGGGCTGGCTCAGCTGGTGTGAACTGTGATCAATCTAGTTCCCCCTAGCTGCTAGGCCAGAGGCTGAGGGGGGCATGCCAATGGCTGAGTTCTCTGGCAGTTTCTGAGATCGGGTGCGCTGGGAGGGGGTCTCTCTCAAGCACTGGCAGGTCGCCAGGGAGGTCAGTCTAGCTAGCTACAAACATCACTGTCAACCGGGCTGAAAGGGGCCTTTCACAGACTGCAGTTGACGTGCTCCCTGGTGGGCTGCAGACTCGGCAGAATTGAGAGTGGAACGAAGCTGCCGTTGTTCATCTATTGTATGCATGCATGCGTCATTCATTTAAGCGCGATCAGGGGTTCCTTGGAATGACGGGGGCAGTTGAGTAGCACTCCTGAAACACTCAACTCAGCAGACGGCAGCTCGCTGCCGAGGAACGTTGAAGCAGTAAAGCGGTGACACATACTGCAGCGTGCATCCAACTCAAAGTAGACTCTGCTGTGGGTCACAATGGGGGCTTCAATCAGTCACGCAGATGCTAATGTCACCACTCCTCTGCCGCCCCCTTTGGGCACAGTTCCAGAGAAAGGCGCAGCGGGGCCGCCCGTGGGGCTTCAGCAGTTGGTCGAACCGCCGAAAGAGATTGAGCGCACCGACTACTTGAACTTGCCCACGCCAGTCAAGTATGAGGAGATCCAAAAGGAAGCGCTTTGTGAGTATCTGCTTGCGGTCTGCTTGCGGGCAGCCAGCATCCCCCATCATTCGCCTGTTCAAGATTGGTTTGATGCTTAAAATGATCAGCTTTCAAAGGCGCCATTAAGAGCATTTGTAGGTTAACTAGCAGTCTGCTTCAGATGAACTGGCCTGCAATTTCTGAGTTATCAATACTGCATGCAACGAAGGACTTTTGCTGCGTCACCATTACCATCAAGCAATCGGTCGGTTGTCCTATCTTGATATCTTGATAACTGTCATATAACAAAAGGCATCCTTGCATTCGATCTGTGGGTTAAAGTTGCAAGATCTGACTGCGAGCCATTTCAAATCTTCAAGTGCACTCCAAATGGGCAGACCCTATCTTTTGATTGATTAATATTTGCCCGTAGGCAGAGCTGCCAGCTTTGTGTGCAGCGCCCTGTTGCAAGTACAGTATTCAGACATCTGATATTTTTGATTGCAAGACGAACAAATGCCAACCATTTGCTGACTTTCACATCGACTTTCAGATTCGCTCAAGCCCGAGCTTTTCGAGGGCTGCCGCTTCGACTTCACGCGACCGCTGAGCCCAAAGTTTGCGCTGACCCATGGGTAAGAACGGATTTGAAGGTGCCCGCCAACTCGAAATATGGACGCCATCCCAGGCACTGCTTTGGTCGTTCGATTGACGCATTGAAGTTAAGATTGTGGTTGAGCCATGGTAGATCCAACAACGACAGACACTTTGATCTAGTCCCAAGCTTCTCTTGGACAGTTGCTTTGCTCCAGAAGCCAGTGCTGAGAAACACTTCCTTGATTGACTAAGCATTCGCTGATGCAGGAAAAGCCCACAAGCTCTTCCTCAATCGCTTCCATCTTTCCCTCAATGCGCCGATGTCCAGACACGTATCCTGCAAGTGTCCTATTTTGCGATAAGTAGCAGCGATACTGACCCATAAGTGATCTTCTGCAGCATCCTGATGGGGCCGATGGAGGTCCCTCAGCAGACGCCGCAGATTGTGAAGGTGGTGCACTCGCAGTATGAGTTTGGAGCCAACTATGTGTGGGACCGGGTGAGTGCGATCGCAAAAATTCCTAACAAAGCAAAGCAGGAACCCAAAAGTTCAAATGCTGTCGCTGCTGCTGGTTCAATGACTGCCCTGTTCGCGAATCTGGAAGAGTGGTGCTCAAAAGAGAAATTTGTCTTTCAAGCTGAAAAGCGAGACGTGGGTGCAAACAGCTTGGGGGTTTTGGAAGTATCTTGTGCGCCGGCTGCTTTTGATTGCCGGATCGGAAAGCTGTATAGTGTGCCTTCTCAGGGGGTGGGCTAGATGGGCTCAATTCGGGTGGATCTAGTCATGTTGCTGTGGACTTGGAGTATGCTCATGGGGCCTTGACACTGGATGACAGGCACTGCAGAATTTTGGGACTTAAGGCCGCCCTGTGTTTGAAAAGTCATGGCGCTGTGATGTAGATGCCATTTGCAGGGTCCATCTGCATCAGAGGCTCTGGTTTGTTCCGGACAAAAAGGCGCTGATGTAATTTGCAAATTAACCAACACTGCCCATCCAAATGGGCTGTTGCAGGGGCCTGCTTTCTTGCGAACTTGATGATTTCGAGGGCATCATCCAGCTCTTTTACCTCATCATTTTTCTCCCCGCTTTGTTGTGTGCAGGGCATGCTGGTGGGTCGTATGCTTAACACAGGGGCCATGAACGCGCGCGCCGTCATAGCCCTTTCCGAGGACTGGACCTTCAAGATGAACTCTCAGGTATGGACACTGCTACACTCCTGTCGACATGCTGCTAACCGAGTCGAAGCCCGTCGCCGGTTCAGGGGTTGCAACATCAGTTTCAGAAAACGAGCTGACGTAAACGATTCGTTTGTTCGTTTTCGCGGTCATCACATGCTTCTCTTCGCCCTATTAATGACTTTCTGACGCGCTCGATTCTTCCGAGGTGTGCCCACACCTGCACTGGAATGCGGTGTGGCTGTCTTTGATGGCGGTGACCAGAATGCAAACTGCATCTCATCTCACCTTGCTGCTAATTCTGCCTCCTCTATTTTGCCTGCAGCTTAGCCCAGAGCCACATAGCTCCATCGCCATGTTCGACTTCGATAAACGGGTGAGCCGATGCGTGCGCTCCGATGCTTGTCATTGCTTTGCATCTCGCAAAGTTGCAATGTTCTCCCACTCTTTGGGCGTTTGCTGTGTGCTTCGAATCCGTTCGAGCACATGCAAGAGGCCGTTCGATTTGATCACGCCCTGCTTTTGTAACTTGGTGTCTTCCTTGCGCCGTAGCATTCAAGACGTAGATGGGCGTTTCAAATACTGCACTCAGTAGTACCACGATGGAATATGCACGTGACAGGATCCTGGACTGGCTGATTGAACTGCCCAACATCTCTGTTCGCAGGGACCCGACTACCAAGCCCAGATAAAGCTGGGGAACAACGCCTTCTACTCCTTTAACTACCTTCAGGTACGAGCCGTCTTTTGAGGACTTCTGCTATCCGTAATCATAAGTACTTCATGTCGTGTTCTGCGCTTTGAGCCCATGTCTTACGTGTTATTGTGCCTCAGTCTAGTGAGTGGATGCGGTTTTCGATGCACTTGCTTCCTTGATCTGTTCCCTGACCATTCGGCGAGGAGTTGAGTTACTTCTCAGCTCAGAAGTGATGTGCTTTTGTTGCGCAGAGCGTCACCAAGACCCTTTCTCTCGGCGGGGAAATCTTTTGGCTGGGCAAGCAAAGAAAGTCGGGCTATGGTTTGGCGCTGAGACACCAGGAAGGGAAGGGGGTGAGAGCATCACTGCATCTGCTTGCTCTTTTTTCTTCCCGCTTCTCGTATTCCAAAGCGCGGAAGAGCAGGAAGTTTTTCCTCAGTTTTTCCTCAGTTTTCCAGGGAGCTTTCCCCAATATTAGTGGAGAGTAGCTTAAAAACGACGATTTTGGCTCGTGGACTGGCGGGGGGAGCCCTTGGCAAGCTGTTCGATGCTTTACCGTTTGTCAAGTTGCGGGAGAGACCCTTTGGAGGCTGGTGTAAGACGGACACCAACGCTGCAAGAAAAGCGACAGTAATTCTGAAAGTTTCGAGCGGTCTCCATGCCGATCTCATCGTAAAGTCGAATATTTCGGTCTGTCGTTCCGGGCAAATGCAGTTCAGTCGGTTCAGTGTAACCGTGTCTCTTCAGAGGTGACTCTCAACTGCGCTTCTGGGCACCAGTTCCGCTCAGCTGCCTTATTGTAATTGTGCTCTGTGTGCGCGCGCAGGTCTTCTCCGCGCAGGTGGCCAGCACGGGCATGGCGGCACTGACGTACAGTCACAAGCTCAGTGACAAGGTGAGGAAGTCCCCACTACACCCTTCTGGATTCGGGGCAAAGTCGAGTGCACGTGTGCAAACCTGGTATTGAGCAGGGCAACTAAGCAAGGATTATTGGCGGACACTTCGTCGGTTCAGTTAGATATGAAGACGTCTGGGAGAAGTTGTTGAGTAAGCCTGGCCCGTGCGGGCACCCGTATCTTTTCAGGGGCCTCGGTCGGACACCCCACTGAGAGGGCTTGAAACATGCTGCCTCGTATCTGGGACTCTGCGATGGACTCGTATCGGTCTCTGGAGGTTCCTCGCTCGGACTTTGGGTCTGATAGCTGCGAAATTCAGGATTCGCTTTTCCATCTCCCACACTGCGCCTGCAAGTGCTTCCATATGCCGCCCAGGTTGTGAACCTTTGTCATCATGGAGCTTTCTTGAAGAAGGGCGGAATTCTTATATGACGAACGGAGGAAGTGAACGAGTCCCTGGGTAGAAGTTTGCATTCTTCTTTGTACCCACCTAAAGGGCTGTGACTCGGCCGATCAGGTGAACCTTGCGAGCGACCTGTCGTACAACTGGAAGAACGGCGAGGCGGTGTCCTCAGTAGGCTACGACTACAACTTGAGATCAGTGAGTCGCTCCGCTCCATCAAATCAAAAGCTTGTTTTCCCGGCGGCAGCAGCCAGCATCTGGGCGGCTTATCCATTCTGTTTCCGATGTCAGAGTTCAGCGTCTGCAAGAGGGGTACCACAACAGACACCCTCTGGCGCTTCTTGGCTAGGGGTAGCGGCGACAGACCTTTTGCTCTGAGGTTGTTCGAACGGACAGTTCGTCGAACTTCGGTAAAGCTCCGTAGTTGTTGGAAACATCGGGCCGGGAGGATGTCACCAGTGCTGAGAGTAGCTTACGGAAAGTGGAACCGCCGCCCCTAGGAATGAGCATGTTTCTCCCTTTGCTATCGGTCTTTGCTCCGACTTGCCTTCCTCCAAACCCACCTTGTTGTCCTCACGTTCTCAGATTCAGCAGGCTGTCGTCTTCGCGGGTTGCAACTAAGCCCGCCTTCTCGAGATCTTTCTGCTAACTTTTTCTTTGCTGAGCGCAGTGCCGCCTTCGAGGGAAGCTGGACACGAACGGTGTTGTGGGCGCACTGCTTGAGGAGAGGTTGAACGTGGGCGTCAACCTGCTGCTGTCGGCCGAGGTGCGCGCTCCGTGCCACCCGTCCTTGCACGCCTTCTTAACATCCTAAGTTGTGCCATCCCGTCCGTTGAGTCGGTTGCTCGAACTCTGATTACCAAATTTGTTTATCTTGGCTCACTCTTTCCGTGTATCTAGTAACTTGATGTGCCAAAATGCCGGTTTCGCCTAGTCTTTTTGAGGTATATGTACTCGGCTTATTTGCCGAGTGTTCTGATCAGGTATGAGGCGCCCACGCACGTAGATGCACGGAAACGGGTTGCAATTGTTTTTGCTTTCGGGCCTTGTTTACTGAGGATATTGTTGGTCCTTTTTTATTTTTGCTTCTCAGATTCATTGGGTTCCCCGTCTTGGCTTATAGTTCGAACGACCCTATCCATTAGCACATCGCCCGTTTCCAAATTCGCATAATCCGCCCGGTCAGTTGTCTGGTCGTCGTATCATCGTTTTATCGCAGCTTCCCGGTTCGCAGCCTCCCGCTTTCACTCCTTCTCACAGCCTCCCTTGCATGTATCAGTCTCCTTGATTTAAGATTGACCCCCGTTTCGCTGGTGCAGGTTGACCACTGGCGGAAGGATTACAAGTTCGGTTTTGGCATGACTGTCGGAGAGTAGCTGAGGATTCTTTGTGTAGATATGGCTAGGCAGGATCAGGTGAGTGTCGCGGAATGTTGAGGCTGGGAAGGCTTCGATCCAACAATCGCAAGCGTAGGTCAGATTGTTTGTTGTCAGTAAAAGTCCTCTAGCTCTGAGCGACTGGGCAAGCGACGCCTCTGAAAAATGCTTCTGAATGATTGACGGTTGTGCATACAACCATCTTGTTGGTTGCAACGAAAAGCACCAACTGGGCACCTAGTTGGCAGCTTGAACTTTTCCTGAGTTCTGCTGGTTGTCAATCAAAGTCGGGCTGGCAACATTGATTGCCAGAAGTGCTGGCAAGTCTTTCGGTCCAAGATGTTTGGCACTGTTTCTCAGTTGACCCATATGGAGGATACTTATTGAAGATGGTCTACAAAGCTGATCCGAGCATGAGGTTTCCTGTTTCTCGATGTAATCAATCCGGTGTATCTCCTTCCTTGAAGTCAAGGGTGTTCTTGGCTCGCGCGCGATGTTTCGTTTCTATGAATCATAGATTCCGTCGGAACATCCAATGTCAATTCTGCATTGACTAAGTAATACGCGCGATGAATGTATGAATGATGCGTCAGAAAACGATTGCATGGCTGAAACATGATATACCACTAGTGCTCAGTTGCGCGTGGCGCACATTTCACATGCAGTGCGAGTCGCATTTTCATGATAAGGCTGCAACTTAGAAAGCATCATTGCGCACATGCAGTATGCATGCATCATTGCAATGTAGACGTAGAGCTAGCGATAGATATATTTGCATGTGCCACCGGGCCTGGCATGCATACCGGATCTCGTACATGAGTGACATGGATCGTACGCGGGGCCATGGACATGGTCCAAGCGCGCGAGTGATCACCCTTGTTCAATTATATATGCAATCGTAGTCAGACCTATGAATTGACCTGACATGTTCATGCGCCGATCGAAGAAGCCAGCCCACCGAAATTTTGTGCAATTTGATTGTGATTGTGAGTAACTGGTTCAAGCAACGTGAATTGGAACTTGATCGAAGGGTTCCTGAGTCTTCAAGTTCGGGGCCGGAAGCTGTTGGAAAGTTACAACCCCCATCTTCCAAGAATGTGTACAGATGTGCTGTCAATAAATCTGCCGGTCGTTTGCAAATCTACTCATTTCAGCGCTCAATTTTCTCAAGCAACTGGATGCTCGTGCACATGTTACAATACCGACATACTATGCCTCACATGGTACATGCTACAACACTCTCGCTTCACTACGTGCTGTCAAGTGGTCCCAAGACATGGCTGGGCCCGCTACTCTCCAACTTCGACCGGGTTTCCCGTCACCTTGAAGCTTTGATAGTACCTGAGACCAGTACAATCCACAGGGTGTCAAAAGCGTTGGAAAGGACGTCATCTTAGACCTACTGTTGCTTTCGCAAAATCTGCTTAAAAAGCACCGCGAATCACCGGCCTGCAAATTTCCTACTTGTAGAAGGAGAGCACTGGAGAATGCATGCCTCTCCTCAACTGTATTGCTGATCGGATACCATCTGTGCATTTCTGTCTCAAAAGCAACTCGAGTCGCAAGCTCAGGGTTATTGGAAATATGTGACACACAATAGTTGAGCCGTCCCGCTGTCTTTCATTCAAAGCCATTTGAATGCAGCATGCAATCGAGGCGCATGCAATACACAAGCACACACAGCGACATGCACCATTCTTGCATACTTAGGCAGCGACTGCAACAGAGATTGCGGGTTTTCGGACAGCGGAGGCGTGTGGGCACGAGAGCGACCACTCACTCCATGGCTTGCACCAGGCGGTCGCCCATCTCTTCGCAGTCCACCGTCTGCAGCTTGGGCCACACCGAGAACGGCGCATTGTCCGGCGCCTTGGGCACGACCACCATGTCCGGCGTCCGAATCTTGTCCGCCAGCACGCTCTTGATGGCCTCTTGAACCAGGTCCGCCAACACAGGCTGCGCAAAATTGGAGAGGAGAAACATCAGACTTGAACGTTCGCAAGGAATGAAAGCGTGTAAAAAACGTCCAGATGTGTCCGCCAGCACGCTCTTGAAGGCTTCTTGAACCAGCCTCGCCAACACGGACGGCCGGCGTCTTAGAAAGGACATGATGTTTCAAAAGCCAGACTTCAAGCCTGAGGCTTTCGATATTAGATTGCAAATAAGCATCCGCGGATTGCCCGCCAGCACACTCTTATCGCCAACACGGGCTGCAGAAGCGAGTCCTGCCATGTGAGTAACTCAAAGTATCAGCGTGCGTCAGGAGGACACATTCGAAGCTCAAGGCCAAAAGAGCATTACTGTCTTCTTGAACCAGGTATGCCAGCACGAGCTGCAGACTTTGCGGAAAGCGGACTCATGGCAGGAAGTCTGCAACGGGCAGCAGCACCGGTATAACAATCGAGACGGTCCTGGGACGTAAAGCCGCATTGGAAGAAAAAACGTGTGGAATCGATGTGGTAACCCACAGAGCTTCATAAAAAGGAGAGCGAATGACTGGGAAACGATGGCCCGTCGAGCAGCGACGTGCAAGGGCGGATACGTGGGCTCAGCATGGTGGTCAAAACGCTTTTATACCTATATGTCCAGCCAATCCAAATTCGAAGGCTGCTTATATGAGGGGACGCCGGCGGGAGCTGAACCTAGACGCGAGTTATTCGAATGAACATCGCCTGGCGCTCGTAACCACTAGCATGACCCAGACAGACTCGATCCACTAAAGCGCAAAGCATCCTTACTAAACGAGCTTCACGCCGCGCCTCAAATCACAACGTCAGGTACAGTCAAAGTTTGTCGTAAACCGAACGCGGAGGAGGGTTCGTACCTTTTCGAACTGGTACCGCAACATCATGGACACGGAGCGAATGAGCCTGCAAGAGCAGACTCGCGTCAGTATCCGCGGAACACCCCAGTTCGCCGCAAAGAGACAGTTGGGCTTTGGTTTAAGACAAAGCGTGCGCGTCTGTATCAGAGAGTGTCTCGCGCACAAGACACGGGCCGTGTCCGAAGTAACGCTGAAAGTTCTGCCGAAGACCGGCGACTGGAAAAGGGGACTCTTTGTACCAACGTAACGGATTGCGGAAGTACGCATCTCTGTAATAATAATCACGACTCGTGTATCTCGGCCATGCGGCTATCAAAGCCTCGCTCGCAACTGCTTTTCATGAAACATTATCCGACCAGGAAAGCACCGTCGAGAGTCGCTCTAGCTGAATGGGTTTCACCGAGCTGGCAAAGCCCGGCCTACAATCGGTTTTCTTGGAGCACTTGTCGATCAGGGAAGATCCATCAAGAGAAGCGCACACTGAAGAAGATCGTAGTGAGCACCATGAAGAGGAGTGCCCACTGAGATGGATTGTACGGAGGACTGACCCTAGCGGGTTGGCCGTCTCCTTGGCTCCTTCCACCTGGACCGTCTCATACGAACCGGGGTACCTGCGCAACCAGAGGGCACTTCAGCCCCGCACTTCGGTACGAAAACCAGAGGCTCGTGCATGAATCGACGAATTTGTGGATAATCCTTGAGATGGCGTTTGAGTACAAAAAATGGCCAGCTTCGACCCTGCGTTTGTTACAATTTGACAGATCGCCGGCTTTCTGTGGCAAATGGCAGTTGATAACGCTTACTGGGGCGGGGCCTGTATCGGCGGGCTTGGGTCCATGTTCTATGACACTCTCTCGCTTGAAGAATAACTAAGCCCCTCTGAACAGTAAGCCTCTCGTGTGCTTTTCGTGTGTCTGAAGTAAGGTTCACATTCTCGCACCCGTAACCCACCTCAATCCTCTAACTCACCCCACCCGTCCCACTAACTATTTAATAGGCTCACTGTTTCCTGGATCGATCAAGATGCACGTGCCCTTTCCTTCTTTCATGATCCCTCTTCTGAAAACGATTCCTCAGAACATCCTTTTTGCTACTCCATTAACAACGTGCACTCCAAACCGCAGATTGTTACAACGAGGCTCACCCGAAGATGCCGGGCGTGCCGGGGGCGCCGAACTCCGCGGTGGGGGACATGGGCTTGCCTCCCGTGATCCCGCGGGCCGACTCCACCAGAATATCGCCCAGCAAATTGCCCATGCTCACCACGTCGTAGCGGGCGGGGTTCTGAACCAAAGACCACTTTTCACGACGATGTTCGAAATTAGGAGTTTCATCTACTCAGTTTAGGCGATGAAACGGCATTCTTCAGTGCTGAACGCAAAGTCTGACTCTAGCGTGTCGAGAGGTGGCGGGCTGCGGGCTGCGGTCGCGTTTTCTGTAGCGTCTGGAAAGAGCACTGAAGACCGCATCTTCGAAAAGGGGTCGTTCCCTCGCGCTCAGACTTCAGCAATTCACGTTCACCTTCTGGCGACGGTGGACAAATGTCCAGAGAGTGGCGGCTTCTTCTCGCAGGGAAACATGCATTTCTTCTGATGATGAGGCTGGAAAACTCCGGTGTTTTGGCGAAACTTGTGTACAGAATCGATACAAACGGTTAACTTCGGAAGGTCCAAGTGGGCGTCATCCGCCAACAGTGTAATGTATACAAATGGCAATTTTTTGCACCCTAACGCCTCGGATCGTTCGAACTCACAGAGCAACAGATGCGATACCTGTACGCAGAAGTTGGATGTTTGCTGTGAATGATATACTCCCGCGAAAGACATTACGCTGCATGAGAGTTGCCGAGTGAAACGCCTCCGGACGGACATCGAGCAATCTCAAGGAGGGTAAGCGCCAAGAAAGGTAAGGTCAGAGCCGTGGGACGGTTGAGCTTGGCTAAGAGATTAGGGTGGGTGCAGGTGCGGATTGCGGAAGCCTTGGTTTCATTTCTCAGTCAAGTGCCCTCGTTGGCACTTCGAGTCCTTGTATTGGTGAGAAAGGTAATAATTCCACGTTCAGCGGCGGCTGACCTGCACGAGACGGGTTGCGAAGTCGTCGGCCAACTCGTGACGGAGCTCCACGTCGGGGTACTCCTCCTTGCCCAAGCGGGTGAAGATCTATGCACACGGAAAAGCCGTGATATCAGTAACCCGATACGACACCTCAGCATGAAAGGGAACTGGACGTCACTCTTTGAAACGAGAACCTGGCCCCGGTCTAAGAGGACACGAGTGGATCCGAAGAGTCCAAAGCGTTTCGCGACTGTCGATAGTTTGGGGCGATCGGCTGGGGAAAACGGACGAGCATGATGCGCTACACTCTGCACAAATTTGCTGCCCCTCCAAATTCGATGGGGCAACGAAGAGCCACGTAGCTCTGAGATACGGTCCCCTCCAACCCGCTTTCCAATATCAACGACCTACCACTCTAGGAAGCCTCGGGCTGACTAAAGCTGATTCCTGGCCTCAGCTAAGAAGCACCACCTAGCACTAAATCTGTAACTTTCCGTTCTCCGTCCCTCAAGGTCCCTTTCAACCTAGAGGAAAACCTGCTCAGTGATTGAGCTAATCTCGGGCTAGGCGCCAAAGTAAGAGGCCCCACCTCGCGCCAGAAGACAGACACTTCCAGGTAGTTTGCCAGGTCCACTGACACAAGCTGCCGCTTGCGTTGCCGCGCCAGGCCGAATGCTGCGTGCGCAATCCGCTCCACTTCTTCCCGCGTGTAGCTTGCGGTACTGAACGCCCGCTGGCCGCCGCTGGGAAGGTCCTCGCGGCCCTGCTGGCCAGTGTAGATGCCACCACTGCAACCAGGACCCACATCTTGAGAGTTCCCGAACACCCAGACTGGTAGGAGACCGGAAACATCTCGGGGAGATTAACGGTCACCCAAAGGAAGGTATAGGGACCACCGTTGCGTCTCCAAAGGACCTCTGCCAAGGGAGAAACTGTATCGAACGAGAGTCCGCCTTAAGCTTCTGGCTTGGTGAAACAGCACTCCCAGCCTTTGATTCGACTATACACACTTATAGACACAATGTGTACTTGGCCCTGATCGCAGTAACCCCATGGCGCCTTACTTTCAGCATGCCGCACTACCGTTCTACTTGTGGCATCTTCATATGCGCTCGGGCCCTGGCATCCGGTCGGGGGCCATACTCCTGGACGAGAACGCTTCTCAGGACAAAGTTACGAAATGCTGCGTCACGTTGCCAGACTAGCCCAAAAACTTACTCGTAAGAGCGCAGAACAAGCTACCGGATTTCACAAGAAGGTGCGCAAAAACGCACCCAATCTCCCGCACAATGATCATGTCGGTGCCCCTGAGCGACTCCACCTTGAGGGAGTAGTCCTCCAGCAGCTGCTCAAACGCCTTGGCCGGTGACAGCTGGCAGTACAGGTCCATCTCTGACCGCAACTTCTTGAGCACACGGGACCGTAGTGGGACGTCCTGGAAGACACGTTTTGCTTTCACGAGAAGGGACAAAGCACCAGGCAGACAGAAGACCGGAAGGGCGGATAGAAGGTGAAAGTTTGATCAGAATCCACCTACAAAAAGTATCCGACAATCAAACGTCAACATATTTATGCAGGGTGTCCGGTGCTTGCTTAAGAGAACCCCAAGACACCCAAGATTTATCGCAGTTTAGACGCACGTTATGAATGTATCCCGTTCCTTGCCAGGTCAGGAATGGTCGATACGAAAGGTGCGCCGCTAGAACCCTGCATCGAGGAGCCTCTCTGATGCGCATCATGCATAAAAGCTCATTGGTGGACTCGAAAGGGGTTGTTTGACGCAGTTGTTCGCCACACCGCAGTTGGCCCAGTCTGGCCCACTCACATCATTCTCCAGGATCTTCCCTGAGAGCCCCCCCAGCAACACAGCGTCCACTGACTTGCACAAGCTGATGGTGTCCTCTGGCAGAATGCTGCCAGTCGATTCCAGAGCAGTCAGGCCGACGTGACCTTCCCGGAACTCAAAGTCCACCCCCGAGGTGGTGGAGAGCGCCGACAAAACCTTCTTGGCGACTTCCATAACTTGAGGCCCCTGCAAACAATCGAAGCTTTGGTGTCACGCTGATCAGCTTTTTGCACGTAGCGACGTCTGAGAATTGTAAGGAGAAAGGAGTGGTACGGTTTACGATCTTTAAGAGCGACCACCTTCTGCCACCAAGTACCTGAACAGGTCTCTAGTTAGAACAGTCTGGGGTGCTTCTTCTGCTCGAACCCCTTTACTAATTCTGATCTTGGTACCCTTCAATTCAGTTCAACACTATTTCATGGCCTCTCGACCTGGGTTAACTTCCTTCATTATATAACAGCGCATCAATCTCAGCTCCCACTGCTCATCTGAAGACCCTGTATATCAAAGTGGTGGCGGATTTTCTGATGGACGCTTCCGCGATAGCGTACAAACGCCGCTGGTCAGCGAATACTTGTTTGAAGCACCAAAAGCTTTTTGAAGAGACATTGTCTGAAATCAAGTGCCGCACCTGTCCGTCCCCTGGCAACACTGCGATTGTGTACTTGCTCTTTCCATCCAGCACACGCACGCGATCTTGCATAGCTGTGCTGGCCATCGTTCGCCCTGGCCTCGCAGCTGCAGAATGATGGCGCCCCGGTCGTGGGCATAGACCTTCGTGAACTAGTCTGAGCAGCTTTTCTCTGCTGCCATGAGGACATAGTGTTCGTGAGCCAAGGAAAGGACTGGTCCTGCAGGCATGGGTGAGAAAATGTTAACCGATGCAATTGTCACTGCGCCGCTGATGGAGGACTGCCTTGCTAGCAGGCCCGTAGGGCGAAGTCCGCGGACTAGCAGACAAGCGCGATCAAAGCTCAATGAAGTTCAGACTCGTTAGTCTGTTGAAGGCAATTGGGATAATGGCGCAGTGGCGATCTTTGAAGTAGCTGAGGATGATTGACAGGAGTGGTGCTCATGGGACGTTTGCTTGCCAATCCAGTAGTCTCAATTAGACCATGCCACACAGAAGGCGTGCGCTCAAACAGCATGAGTGCAAATGTAGTTTCCTGCTCTGAAATTTTGGCAATCACCCTTTGCCACTTTCAGCACAAACTCACAAATGCAATGAGCACAGTGCGACATTGATACGTGCACGATGAGTGGTGCATTGCACTTTTCAGGCGCAATTCTGACCTGGAAACAGCAGCAGCGGCTGGACATCTACGCGTCGTAGGTTGCTGTATGGAGCTTGCTGCGGCGCCGTTGGGCAGTAGAACCACAGAGCGGGCTGTTGCAGCTGACGCCATGATTGCACTTGTTGAAATCAACGTGAAAGAAGCTCCAAGGTTAAATTGGAACACCGCCAAGGTGTGCGCTTTCTTTCGGAGCCTTATACAGCACTCAGCCTCTGCACATTGATATCTTACAGAAAACAAACTTAGGCCATGCTCTGCCACCTAGCAGAAACTGGTTCAGGCCCAGAAATCCAGGATGCCTCCCACAATGAAAGTGCCTATGCCAAGCATTGGTCTCTTGCAGTGGAATGGCTGTACCGTGTACGTACCGTCCTCTGCAAACTTCCCCCTTTTCCCTTCTGAAATTGTCTGCCTCTGCCTGGCAAAGTGCATCCAGCAGGAACTTCGCAACTGACCAGTGTAAAATCCTGCGAGGGCACGTGCAACCTTTTACTGCACCGCGATACCGTCGATGTTATTCTGATCGTACGGTTCGGCAGTCCGGTGTCGACAATATCCAAAGTGCATGCACACTTGGCTGCCACGTGAGGATCGTGTCAGAAAGTGCAAAGCGCTCGCTTCATGATTTGACACCATCAAGCAAGCATCTGGCACCAGCGGCCCGGGTGAACTCTGTCATACAGCACTCCCCGGTGGAAGACGACGTCGTACGATCTTGTCGGGCCGAGGCCCCGGAACCAAAAGCAAACCTTTTTAGTGTCAAGTTCGAATGACGAGCTGCTGAGTCAGGGGTCTAGTCAGCCAGCGCAGGATTTTCGTCTCTGTCCGAGACTCCGAGGGCGAGGTCATGACTCATGCCCATGCCTGGGCCCAGGGCGTCCTTGCTGCAGCACAGCTCAGTACAGCAGCACCTCAAAAGGGAATGCCCAATTTTGCTTATTCCCTTCTCTTCGGCCGCCATTTCCCCTTGCTTGCTGCCGCCCCTCTAAGTTGCCGCTTGCCTCCCTCTTCTGGTTTGTTGAGATACAACTGCTGGACAGTATCTGGGGCAAAGCAGTGACGCTTCAGCAAAGTGTAGGTCGTAAAATGGCGTCTTCAATTTGTGCTGTTTCTGGCAAGTCATTGCTAACATCTTTCACAGGCTCTGCACAGCGGTTGCGGGGGGACTTGTCGCCTTTTTGCTTGTGGCCTCAGGTTTTGAACAGGTGAGATTTAGGATTTGTATGTGCACTGTACTTTATGGTCTTGAAAATTCGTTGACGTTGTTGTTTAGTTCCAGGCTTTGTACGTGCACAGGTTGGGTGTCTTATCAGCTTGAGAATCTTTCTACTGTTTGTTTCTTGTTCACAGGCTTCTAGACTGGCAACCTAGAAGAAAACGCTAAGAGCTACGGCTGCAGACATGGTTACTGTTCTAGCTTGTAAACTGAATGGAATGTTGAGACTAGGCTAGCTTGAGTAGACAGCCCAGGAGCTTTTCAGTTATCCTTTTTCTAGTTTTGCATTCCAGTCAAGAACAAACTCTGCAAACAGACTGCAAAAGCAATTTGTGGCTACAGCTATCGTATCCCGTTTCTGCAGAGCCAACCCACAGTTGCAACAAGATTCTCGTTTTGCTTCTTGCATTACTGCTTACCAGCGTTCCGATGTGCGCATTCGAAGGTGAGCTGATGTGTTGCCTTCACCGCGAGAAGCATGCTGGTTTGTTCATGTCCACAGTATTTCTTGGGTGCAAGAACTGTGTCTCTTGCATAGTGTCGGCGGTTCATTTCTTGTCAACCCTCCTTCTATCCTGAACTGTCTCTGCTTGCCTATGCCAAAGATGTTTTGATCATCGTCTTCGGTCTTGGAGCTGAGACTTTCTGCCTTCTTGGCAGTTCACATGCGCATCCATGGAACCCGTTCCTTGTCGGAGAGATAGTAAATGCTCGCGATCAAATTGAAATGGCCAAACTGACTGCTCTGCGGCTGGCTGAATCTGTGTTCTGCGTACGCAGGCCCTCGGCGCAGGTATCGGCCCGATTGTATGCAGCAGCCGCGTCCGAAGCCCCAGGTAAAGTTGTAGCTCTTAGATCAACTGAGCTGAGGAATTGCCTAATGCAGAGGACCTGCTAAAGCACTTTTACAGTATGAGCAGTTAGATTCTCAGATCTTTCAGTTACATTGATCCACAACCCCAATCATGTATTACTTCATGTCTTGTCCCCCCTACAAAATGGTTGTAAGCTTGATCTGCCCCATAGCTTGGCGGTGACAGCCTCTGCTTTTGCTTCCAGGTGTGCGGAGCGTCCCTGTGCAAGTTGCAAAAGAGCTTGTTGATGCAGGACATCACTATGTTGATGTTCGCACTCCCGAGGAATTCGAAGGA